CTCCGCAGCGAATGTTAAGAATCGATAAGCTCTGGACCACTGCTAATATTCGCAATTGACCGATCTCAAAACACGGAACCGAGCGCGGAAAGAGCTTATCGGATCGAAAATCATTCCTTCCTGCAATCGTTCACTGTCAATAGCTATGGGTCGCCAATGTCTTCATCGAAGCCCAGAAGCTCAGTCCGGGTTCGAATCTCATCGTCGTCGACCGGTAACGCAAGATCCGTTGTCATCGCTGTCTAACGGCCAGGAAGAATAAAAAGAAGCGTTAAAGGCCGTTAAGTGTTCGCCCTGACGCCGCCACTCCTTCATCTTGTTGGGGAGGGCTGTTTCACCTGTGGTCTGTCTTGGCCAGCACCAACGAGTCGCTGTTCTTCTCGTTTTCTCTCCGATTTTCTCTTCGTATTTTTTCTTTCTGCTTCATCGTCTGATGGTTGTGTACCGTCTTGGTTCTGGTTCAGTAACTTCTCTTATCTCGTGCTGGTTGGATGGCTAGCGAACGACCCCGGTTCTGTGTTCAGAGCTAACGGTGTTACGAGTCGAAACCGGTGTCAGCAAAATTGTTAAGGGCCTCTTTACCGAACCGGGGAGTTTTCCTCTTCGCTTGCTCGTGGTGTCGTCGTTGTTGTCGTCGTCGTCGTCGTCATCGCCGCCGTTGTTGTTGTTGCCGTCGTCGACGTCGCGGCTGCTAGTGTCGTTGCGGCTGCCGCTGCACTTGTCTCGCAGGTGCAGGCTTCAGTTCAGCAGATCAGTTAAGAATAAGACCGACTCCGTTCTTGTCTTCCATTGCTGATGCCACCGTCGAAAAAAGCGCCACCACCATCTCAACCGCCACACCGCTCCGGTCGTCGTCTGATTTGCGTCTCAGTCAGCTGATGAGCCGAAAAGCGTCGCTTAGGTCGCTCGTTGCGTGGCAGATGTTGGATTTCTGGAGACTACGCTGCTCAGGCGTCCCGCTCCGAGTCGACTTCTAGACGCATCCCTTCGCCGCGCCGTTGTCTTCCCTGAGGCGTGAGACTAGAGTCGATCAGCCTCGGATAAGCGATCCGACGACGTTACGGTTCTTCCCCTGTCCGGCTCGACATCCGAAACAAACATGACCATATTCATCATTGGTGGTATGATCTCCACGATTGATTACTCGATGAGATTGAACGATGTGGATCGTTCGCGCTTTTCTGTTTTGGTTCTAGCGGGCGCGCGATCGTTCGGCGCGTGTTCGATGACACGAGATATCTTCTGGAGAGATGAGTCGTGTGCCACCGCAGCTCGGGTGTCGCCGGCAAAAAAAACCGTACCGGCCGCTGCAGAGCATTTTTCGCCGGCGCACGTTTCGGTGCCTCCTCAGTTACTGACTGACTGGCCCCCGACTCTTCACTCACACAAACACTCGATAGCCGTGTGTCATTGGCACCTAAGGTCGAGCTTTTCTTCCTCCTTCGAGCTCTGTGAGCCCGCCGAATCTTATTTGGACAAGGGCCGCCGAATCGATTCGAGCCGGGTCGGTGTCATGAGACGAAATCAACGCTTCCTCAGTCGTTCTTCCTTCTTCCCTCCCAAAACGTTTCTACAAGAGAGCCTATTCCACTCCACAAACGCCGGCCGAGATTCTTCCGCTCTCTCTGGGCCGCTCGTGAGAGTATTTCCTCCAGCAATGCATCGGTCGAAGTCTGCATCGATTTCGAATGAGAATCGTTCGGGACCTCTTGCGGCAATTCATGACACGGTATCGGTCGATGCAAAACAATGGACAAATCCAGAGGAAGTTCTTAGCTGTAATTCATATTGCTTGCCGGGCTGCTAAGCTGTGAGACAAGCATGAGGAAGCAATGCCACCATGGCTTCGCTGATGGGTCGCACGTCGAGCGGCCGTCGAGTGATCTCATCTCGTTCCGAAAGAAGGCAAACAAAAGAAACGGTCCACTACCGAGTCAGGAGGAGTCACGTCATGGAAATGTGGTTCGCCCTGAAACAGGAGGGCGTGCATGGGAAGCTCGAGGGATCAGGAGATACGGTGGTCGAGACAAGACGAATACGTGGGAAATTTCATTTCATATCGTTTCTGCAACCGGTGGTTTGGGTTTCTTCTGTCCGCTGATGATTTTATTGTTTGCCCTGTCGAGAGAGCAGTGGAATGAATGATGTGCTCCGGATGGATTTGACCGAGATCAGATAATTAGATACGTAGATGAGTACATGCATGTCTCGCTTGTCAGACAGATACACAGCGGGCTCGGTAAGTGAACAGCAAGGAAACCGGCTTGCACGGTTAGTTGCTCGGCGACGGCTTCTGTCGCTACTTAGCGTAAGTCTGTGCTGGTTCGATACAGCCTATTCCTCTGACGTCGTTAGGAGGTCATTTGAAACGAGGCAGACACCGTGGTCTTCACTTCATCCGATCACGCGGCTGTCTATTACCGGCGCCGCCATAGGGGCGACGCTTCCCAGGTGTGTCAAACCGCGGACTGGATGCAGCGCTTCTATTCTCAAACGAGTCGAGTTTCCAAACGGCTAGGCACATGACGGCGCGTCCACCTTTCGGCTGATCGCTCCATCCATCGATCAGTCATTCAGAATCCCTCGAACAATCAATTGATCGCTGAGCATCGAATGTCTTTCGCCCCAGGTCGTGTGAGGGACTGGATGGAATAATTCCGTGTGAGTCCGCCGGGAACCCCTCATCCTGCTCTCCGATAGGGGGAGACGAATTCCCGTCACCACAGGCTGTTCGGTGACGTTCGCGATCTGATAATTGTGTCAAGTCCCGGCGACGGAACGTCGACAGGGTCCGACTGGGCTGTTTGATCGAACTTTTCCGAAATGCATATAGTACGATGATCGTAGACGAAAACTAGAGCCACTGGCTTGGCTGAGTATCAACGCGACGGAGTAGTTGTCGATTGGTCGATGCAAGTCCCTTCGGAGCAATGCTGCGAGACAGTTCAACCTGTCAGGCCTTTTCTCTCTTTTTTTTTTGATCTCGTGCCATCAACGTCACGATAGGGAAACGAAGAAAAGAGAAACGGCCATTTCGCACAGCCAACTCACTCATCTGTCTGTCTGTAAACTTCTTGTAACCAGATGATTGCTGGACAGTCAGTCGCACGAATGGACCTACAGACGTATCAACTGACAAACTGACCGAGAAAAAGCGAAACCGTACAAGGTGGAGAAAAGAGTTAAACATCTTCACAGAAACCGCGACAAGGTCACCTCATCCCTTGGTTTGTTTTGCTTCCGGAAAAACGAGCACAACGCGAGGAGAAGATGAGGGGGCTGATATGACCGAGCAGAAGTTGAGCGTTTGTCACGGTGCCATGGAACAGAAAAGACCCACTGCGAAACGGAAGACAGATGTCGAACACGTTCCCCGTGTTTCCGGAGACTCGTGTCAACGTCTGTTGTATCTCGTTTTCTTTTTCTCGATTCTCTTGTCCGTATGCCGGTCTGATCCCGGGACGACCGACTCGCGGAGTTTGCGAATCGAGTAGCCTTCGTAAGCGTTGCTAGACTCGGAATAGAGTGGATCAGATCGAAATAAACTACGCTTTCTGGCTCCGGAAAAAAAAACTCTCAAGGACGCCATATCTGGGTTAGCACCGAACTCATTCAGACTAACGAAACATTGGGGCGAAACTCGTCTGTGCTCTCGAGAGGATCATCACAGCCGATGTCGACGCCGGCGTTATTGGAACGAGATCGCCGAACCGCGCCGTGCCATAGAAACAATAAGATGAACTATACACAGCGTTGGGAAAAAAGGATGCTGCGGCCGACAGCCTCTCGAGATGTGCCTTTGAGAAGAACAAGCCACGGACGTCGAGAAAAAAAAGGATTTACAACACGACATGGACAGCGAAGAGCCGTTGTTCGCAATGTCCACCAATCTTTTGATCTCCATCATCTCATCCGAAGCGTCGGTGTCGGTGGCGCTTGAGCGTACTGCGTTGCTCCGACTCTGCTCGGGCGACCTAAAAGCAGGAGACAGACAGAGAGCCACGTAGCCGAGCACGGATTCCTTCGAGCGTTCTGGATATTTTCCGTGGGTTGCTACACGGCAGAGGTGCTCGACGCGATCCGAATCCTCGTCGTCTTCCCCCCTCCCCTCCCTGATCACGTTGGCATTCCAGTGACTCCCAGAGATTTCCGGGCGCCTTCTGGAAAGTCAGAAAATGGATGAGACGTTCGAAGTATGCAGTTGTCGACCTCTCAGTCTGGAGAACCAATCAACTTGAACTCTGGGTCAGATTCTCCGTCTGGAAACTGAGCCTTCCGTGGCTGGTTGTCTGGTGTGTCGGGCTGTCCGCTCATAGGCGAGCAATCAAAGTGCAACGTCTGCGCGATTCGTCTCCATTCTACAGAAAGCTCTGTCTACACGGCCGTCTGAACTCTTAGACGGCACCGCTTGTCTTTCCCTGCCGCCCGCGAGAGCCGTATGCCGCGAGAAGTGGACACGGCGAAGCTCGAGGCAGACTGTGTGTCCCCAAGCGATTCCTGTCGCTTCGTCACTTCTGCGAATAGCTTTACTCAGACATGACGTCACGGCACGCTCTCCTGCCGCGAGAGGTGTTCTTGTAGGCAAGCAAACGAGTCAATGCGCTGCTTTCGAATCCAGATCTGCACTTGAATCGGCTGCAAGTGTGCTCGCTAGGCTAACCGGGCAGGAACTTCTCTGGCCTTCTATCGCGAACGCTCTCCGTCTGTTCGATTGTGACTTGGTGGTGACAGCGCATCCGTGATTCATTCAGTTTCCGATGCTCGTGTACGATCCGTAAGTTCAGGGCCCTTGCAACATTTGGCGCTTCCGGCTTGGCTCTTAGTCCCGGAATCGTTTCCCGTTCTTATTTGAGGAATTAGTGACCCGGCGCAGGGTATAGCCGAGGAGTAGATTAGCAGGCCAAAGCTCGAGCTCGGCGGAAATGAGGGCTCCCGGAGCTGGATCGCGGTTCGATCGGGGACAAGGGTGAAACTAAATCCATTTTCTCCTCAGTTGCAGAATGTCGGACTCTATCAGGAACATCAGTAGTGATGATGCAGGGGCGTCGGAGTGGTTTCTGGAATTGGACGACGAGATCAGGGCTCCGTTGTCGGAGCCCCGTCAACAGCACAACAGCAATTGGGACACCGACTCGGGCTACGAGCCTTCCCCGGCCTATTTCGCTAACGAACGCAGATTCGAATACCCTCCCATCGAGGACGTCGACGAGGAAGGGGACGACGAGGAGGACCTTCTCGACGATGTGTTCATCGACAGCGCTACCGGTTTCCAGGAATTGCCTTCGACCCCGTAAGTTACAAAGCGAAGTTTTTATTAGGAGCTTCCGGGAATTTCCGGACCAACGGGAATCAAACCCGTGGGGAGAAGACTCGTTCACCTAATTAGAGCCCGGCCAGAGGCCGACCGCAGGCGAATGTCTCCTGCTCGGAGAGCTGTGCAGAAGTCGAAGAACCGGTCGATTATTAGTTTAGGATCGAATCTCGAATGAGGGAAGTCCCCTCGAGAACTCACGAACAGACTAAACTTTCAAAATTTTCTCGGCGCCGAGAGACGCGCCGTGATCGCCCATGAAGCATAAATATAGCGAACAGGTGCGATTTTTTTTCTTCCTCAACCCTGATCGCTATCTTCCATTTCTCTTTCGTGTCTCTCAGAATCGAATTAGGGGCGGTTGGGTTGACGGTCGGTCGCTCGCTCGAGCGCCCGCTCGCTCACCGGGTCCGTCAGTCAGTTAGTCACTCCGTCATTTGGTAGATGATCCGCTCGCTCGCGACCCCTCCAGAGTATCGCATTTCCAGATTGATGATGGTACTCCAAGAGAAGGGCGAAAATTTTCGAGGATTTCCCTCTGTCTGTTCGCGTTTGACAACTCCGAGCGTCTCTCGCTTTTCGATCTCGACACTCGATCAGCAGACAACAGTCATTAGACCTTGAGGGAATCACCAACTGACCGACCGACAAACCGATCGTTCGAGCGGAGAACGCGTTTCGCGATCCGCTGATAACACGACACGAGTAACTGTTCATCGGGAGATACTGTCAAGCCATCGATGTTCATGTAGGAAGCATCTGGATATCTGTGGTCGATGATCCTGGAACCTGACGGGTATTCCGGTGAACTTAGCGGCGCAGACTTCAGCCGAATGTATGTTTTCGAACGGGAACGGCCGAGGAGGAGTTCATGGAGGAACAATGCCCCGACGAACTCATCCGCTGGGGTACCGCGCGATATTCTGACGATGTGAGCCGTAAACTCAGTGTTCATATTGTTGTCAGGTGCTTTCAGCAAGCTCGCGCGATCCTAACGAAACACCATCATCATCTTTATAATCAAGAGCGCGAGAGCTGTCTGAGTTTTACGACCATAAACGAACCAGAAGCAAAACAAAGCCAATTAACAATATGGCGTTTGCTTTTTCTTAATAATGACGTCTCCGAGCTGAGAAGAGAATAAATTCTGAAATTCGTAATCAGCAGCGACCGCCGTTAACGAAGAAATTCCTTGCGAGTGTTCATGACGAGGAGTTTTCTGGAACACTGCGTAGGATCACTCGGCGGGGGAACATCTCATTTTTCTCCCGTTTCCTCCTCTCGTTCGATTGGGGAGGACTCTTCACTTTGTCTTCATAAATCGCGTTCCGATCCCGTGCGTGTCTAATTTTCCCATCTTCTCCCTTACAGCCGATCGTACGCTATCCCGATCCCCGCACGGAAACCCTCGACTCCAAGCGATGATATCCGTGATCAGGATGACTTCTCACTTGTGAGCAGACCCCACAGTTGTCCGCCTAGAGATCCGGAATTCGAGCTGGATCACGACGATTTCCTGGACTCTGGCGAAGAGCTCGATACACTCGTGGAAAAGCTACAGGCTCGCGTCTCGGTTTCCACTCAGACCGACTGGATGTTCGACGAGGGTAAGTCTATCTTCTTTCTCCCTCCGGGGTTTGTTCCCTTTATTTACAGCTCGTTCCATTGCTGAGATGACTAGGCGATCGCCTATTCGAAGTATAGGAGATCTTCGCAGCAGACGATCCTTTGTTGAGTGGGATCTATCCACGAAATAGGCGTCGCACCTGCACTCGCGAGAGCATGTCAGCCCCAGTGTTTTGTTCCGACCGAAGATCTGCCCTCGATTCGATTTTTCGCTGGCTCAGAACTCAGTCAGTTCCCAGCAGCAGACTCGTCACAAGTCTTAACCTGTCTGTGCTTAGGCCGGTCGATTGGTCGCTCGCTCGGCTGCCTGATTGTATTGTGGTGTCATTGTGCCACCCTCGCGTCCCAGGCTCTCTCTGGTTGGGCTTTCTCTCGACGATGGTTTCTCAGACGGCTGCCCCCGCCACCACCTTCTTCTGCCTCAAGAACGGTGGCGGCGGCGGCATCAGCAGCAGCAGCAGCATCACCACCACCTGGCGAGCGGGCAAGCGAGCGAGCAGGGAATAACCTTGGATTGAGTTTTCTTCGCTTCTGTCTGATCACATATCAGGTCGAAAACACTCGATGACTGCTGGGGTTTCTGAGAGTGTTCAGACAGTAGACGGACAGAAGAGTGGATTCGGGGAGCAGCTCCGAGAGGGAGAAGACGCCGGATCGACAGAAGCACCATGCGAGAAAACACCTCGACGTTCTGAGCCAGAGTCGAGCCGGCGTGAGCGCGTAATCGCGGTCGATGGAGTGACCCTCGGAGCTGCCTGAGCGGGAGATCCACATCGGCTTCCCCATCGGATTGTTTCAGTAAATAGAGAAAACGAGAGGAGAGATTCCACATTTGAAAAATGCTTGCGGTACTTACGCGTAGCACAGTGCCGTCGATGGTCAGCGAGCGTGCGCGAAATGTTGCTCGACGCTGAGTGCTTTTGAATCGCCGTGACGGTGTCCACTCAGGGAACAACATTCGCAGAAAACAGAGTACTTAACGAATTTCGTGAGCGATGACACTTATACTTTACTGTGAAGAGTAATGCGATGACTTTGGTGGAGGCGGGGACGTTACCGAAGCCACAGGAGGCGCCACGCTTCCTTGACTCGTGACTCGTGACTGATATTCCGTCATTCTGTCGGTGCGTCTGCCGTTTTCTGTGCTGGCTTATTATTCTGTATACCACGGTGCATTTGCCGATAAGCGAGGGATCCGTCGGAGTATCTGAGCCACCACGGAGTTCAATCCCGCCCGCTGCTCTGGACTAGACTCTGGAAAGACGTTGTCCGGTCGGAGCGTAACTCGAGACGCTGTGCTGCGGAAGCAAGTGAAACTTAGACGGCTCCCTGAGGAGCAACGGAGCAAAACTGATTATTAACGATCTTTGATCGAACCCGCTGCACTGTGTGTTTGATGATAATAGCTTTTTAACTGAGCCTGGTCGTTTTCTCAGGTTCTGTCTGGCCGGTTAACTGGCCGGCTGAATCTAATCACATAACGGTAGCAGTCAGTCCTGTAGACCAATCTGGCGGCAGCAGCAAAATAGATGTCCGTCAATCATGTGGGCTTTCTCTCCCTTGGTCCGCTGCGGACTTTGTTAGTTAGAGTCGTCAGCTCGTCCGTCCGTCCATCCGTCCGTCAGACCCTCCGACGGTCGATCTGTTGTTGTCCTGCAGCTCCTGCTCGTCCTGAGATGAGAAATTAAGTTCTTCGTCTGTTGACCATCGGTCGAGACTCCCCATCTAGTGTGAGGGGACCTCCTCGACCAAAGTCGTGAGACTAATCAATATAACAACGACGGCCGAGACGACGATTGCTGCCGCCGCGGCCGCCACCACTTGTTCCGCGCTGAGCAGGCGAAAGTCGCAGCAAACTGAAACTAAAGAAATATTGCCCTCAGTCAGACAGTAGAAGCATCGGCGGCGAGAGTCAGGCGAAATGCAGAAGGGAAAAGAACAGGTCGAAAGCTACCGATGACTGTCTAACTTATCGCTCATTAACGGCAGAGCCACTCCGCTCGGTTTAAATTGAGATGGAGCAAATCTAGGGGTCAGTCGGAAGAGTCAAACAGAAGAACAGCTCGATCAAATCTCCGGGCTTTCGCTCGGTCGGTCAGTTTGACGGTCGGTCTTTCGACGCATAACGTCAGTGTTTTGTTCTCGGAGCCTGAGGAAAAAACTCTTCGAAATACACCTATTGGATCGATGCACATAACAGCTGTGCTCGCTGGTGAGATCCCGTAATCTAAATGAGGAGTCCTCAGGTGGAACAGCTCGCGCCCACGGGATCTAGAGTCAGAATCCTGCGATGCGACACCGGGCGTTCTCATGTGAGGGTGCTCGGGGATGAGAATTTCGTTGCTTGATAGATTCCCTTCCTTGAGCGATATATCGCCCGGTCGAGATAAAAGTCGGAAACGGCAAGATATCCGGAGACATTCGAACCGGTCTGCCGTTGCGCAATCAGAGTTCTACAGATTGCTGACGAAGGGCAGGAGCTTCTTCTCCCTCAACAGATCCGTTCCCGTGTCCTTCTGTCGATCGTTTGTCCGTCTGTCGGTCTCCCATGTATCTATCGTTCGTCGAGTCGATGAGTCTCACGTTGCTGCTGCGGCTGTTCAGTCACCTCAAATTGGCGCCCGTATTTTGCACTGAATCCAATCATTATACGGCGCATGTGTAATAAAATAATGAAATTGTCATCATTAAATAATTACATCCGATATTATCGCTCCGCTTGAGTCCAACGAAGCTCCGGAGCGCCCAACGCGTCGAGCTCTGCTATTAAAGGTCGTCGAGGGTGCCATTATTTGTCGTGATCGAAAACGAGAAGCAAAAAGTAAGCAAGCAAACAGCCCCTAATCACCTAATGGAGAGTCTCGAGCATATTGGTGTTCACACCTTCACCCAGGGCCTCAGTAAACACCTCAGACAGAGCACTTCGTAATGACAGCGTACCTTCACGGCGCACCCTCACATCACCGTCGTTGTCTCCGAATCACCAGATAAATCAAGAAGCGATATATGATCGCGCTGACATACAGAAACGGAGATAAGTCCACGGGGAATTATACGCTGACGAATGCAGCTAGAGGGCGATATTGACCGCTTGACGAATGAGTCTGGGGGCAGCAGCAGGGTCTCGACGAACTCGAGAACCAGACGTGTTTACTCGCGGAACGAAATTGTTTCCGCTCCCAATAGCGAGAGACAGAAAGATATTACGATTGTCTCGACTCGATCGGAACATATACGATGCGAGGTGGATTTATGATGTTTTGTTTTGCTGTCAACTCCGATGGAAAACGACTTCGATTTGCACCCGAACCAAGACGTGCCCCGATCGTCAGTGTTTCTCGAGCCGTCGTCGGTGGCTATCGACCGTAATTAATTGGCCGAAAGTTGTTTCATTCACGGTGCCAGACGCCGTTCACGGCTCTTCTGGACAGAATTAGCGAATTCGTCTTCGCCTCCACCTCGCGCCCAAACGAGCCAGCAACCGTTGTCATTTGTCCGGAATACGGGCAGGTTGCCGACCTCGATCGTACCGACGGCGGCGGCGACGACGATGACGCGGAATCACTTTGCTGTCATTGTGAAGTCATTATTATTCCACCTCGTTTCCTTGGTGGCCCTTGCTTCTTTTTTTTGTTCGCGAGCAAGCTGCAAGCTCGCCAGCCGACTTGTCCCGAAGTGGCTGATTTGACAACATGCTCGAGCTGCATTAACCATCGGGTTTCTTCCAATCGAGCAAGCGAGCGCGCACCGGCCATCCGAGCTAGCGACTGGCCGGCTGGCCAGACAAGAGCCGCACCTGGGCAACCCAGATTTCGTTATCTTTGAGACTTAGTCTTAACGTCGCTTCCTTTGGACGTCGCTCCCTCCGATCGGTGATTCCTCCGGACGTCGATTCCTTCGACCGTCGATACCTACGGACGTCGATTCCTCCAGATTTCGATTCCTCCGGACGTCGATCCCCCCCAACCACGATTCCTAAGAACCTCGACTCCCCCGAACTTCGATTCCGTCGGACGTCGATTTCCCCGAATGTTCGATCCATGGGTTGCGGTTGTATGGACTCCTTCGGTTCAGAACTCGCCGCCGCGCTGCCACAATGACAAAACTGTGACTGGACCTCCACCTCACGGGAGAGATCACACGGCTCGGTTATCCGCGCTGACTTACATCTTTCCAGTTGTGTGCCCGTTAGTTTGTTTCGGGGCCGGGTCATCGAAAGTGCGATACACCGTTGAGGACGCGCATACGACCGTGGCCGTCAGTGTGGGCAGAAGTTATTGAAGCGAGCGAGCTATGTATCTAATGGCCGTCGCCAAAGACGTATAAGTTGCTCCGAGTTGTTCTGGCCGCCGCGGCCGCGCCGTAACTGTAGGACCTTGCTACGACGCATGCTAAGGCTCTTGTCACTGAAGTGAAACCCTCGGCACGGAGGAGTCATCAGCGGGCGATTTTTGTTACCACCAATAGTCACGGAAACACGATGATTTTCCCCTCCTACGAGATTGATACTTTTTGTTCGAGTCACGCCAACCGCTTCTCGGACGACTTTCCTCTCCATGCTCTACCTAAACTCGTGGGGAGTCGCTCTTACCGCGAGAGCGACGACAATACATCTCGATCGGTCGGTATAGATCTTGCTCGAAACGACTGATTCCGAAGGTAGTGTGCTCGCCCGTCTATGTAGGCGCTCGGTTGACATGCGCGCATCATCTGTTGTTGAAGAACGTTACTAGACGTCGTTGAATTCGTTCGTTTTTCAGAATTTTATAACGATTTTTTTCTTTCTCCTTCTGTTCATCACTTGTCGGCGGCGGCGACGGTAGACGGGTCGAAAGTGGCAATTGTTGTCGAAATCTGCCGAGAAGTTCGAACTTGTTCGGCTTCTTGTTGACTGACTCGCCGTTTTCGTCCGTGGATCTGTCTGATGATGTTTAATGTGTCCAGGTGTCTGGGTGCCTCTCATCGTTTAAATTGCTTTCGGTTGCCGTCTTCATATTGGCTTTGACAACATATCGACATCACCTCGTTCAACTTTACCCTGGGCGTAGCTTATTGTGAGCTGTTGCGACCATTGTAAACAGCGACATACATTAGCGCGACGAACGAATATTGGCTGGTTTTTCGCTTTGTCACAGTTAGCCGTCATTCGTCCGCTCGTTCGTATGTGTGCGTGCGTGGCCGTCAGTGCGTCCGTACGCCCGCTTGCCTCGGGTCTTCGCCGATCTACTGCTCGGAACTTGTTCGCGGTTCACGTGTGAGAAAAACGAAAACAGAAAACACTTTGCGGGCATGAGAACCACGGATGACCCTTCGGACAGGATTGAATATAGCATGACATAACTGTCTGCTCTTCGTGCTGCATTTCTCTCCTTTTTTTCTGTCCTCCCGAAGACTTCGGTGGCGAGAATCAACAGCGGTCGGAGAGCCATAGACGATGGGGAATAGTGGGGAACGAGAGGTATTTAAATAAAGTTAGTAACCGAAAAGAAAATCGACTGTGCAGAAAAGGGCGGGGACACGATTCGGGCAAAAATGACATTCGGACGAAGGTAGCTGCGTGTCCATCCTTTCTTTCTTTGGTTCGTTGCAGATATATTTTTTCTTCTCCCACTTTAATTCTAATGTTATGCTTTTTGACAACTGAAGGCGGGTGGCAGCTCTCGAGAACTCTTCTCCTCTGTCTGTCGACTGCCGTTGTTGTCGCCACTACCGCAACTGACAATACAGCAACATTCGAACCGGAGAGAAGAGGAAAAAAGCGGAAATTATTGTCAAGTCGCGCGATGCTCCCGAAACGGCCCAGGTGCAGCCGAAGCCCTCATACATCGAAGCAAGCGACCATGCAGCCGAGCAACCTACTGAGCAGCGGACCGAACGAGTGAATCGGCGAGCTTACCAAGCTAGCTCAGAACCGGACGATCCATTTGACCTTACTGTCGTGGAAGTCGATATCGAATCATCTCTGTCGGGATCCGAGCTCCGATCCAGAGTTCATTCCCTAAACCCCGAGCGGCGAGCCGGGCGGGAGTTCCAGGAAAATCTGGAACGAGAACAGGGATATTCGTTCCGATAATCGAATGAACAGAAAACATGTAGGTGTAAGAGCCGGATGACTCACTTGACTGGCGACTCCCGCAACGATGGGCTCAGCGAGCGATGGCTATTGGTGCACAAACCAGAGGTTTTTCATCACCACATGAAATAATTGTCGGCGTTCGCCCGGCCAGACAGCTTGTCGCAAGCCTTGTCTGACTCATCTCGATAAAAGTGAAGTGGCGTCGAGGGAACGGAAGAAACGAGCAGTCGGGGCAGGGGACCGCTATTCGAAATTGACTCATCCTTCTTCTACTGCCTGTTTCGCCAGCCAGCGGCCTGTTACGGTCGGCTGATCCGTCGCAAGCGGGCAAGAAAACGGTGATGATCTAAACTTTACCGACGACGCCACCAGATGGTAATAACCAGCGCCGGCAGCCACACAGCGATCCCTGATGATTTGCATACTGAAAAACAACAACCTACATCTGATTCCGAATATCATATTCAGCTGGGTTCGGTCCCCGTTTGAGGTCGCTAACATCCAAGAGCCGGACTGAGGAAGGAGCGAAATGGGTTCGTTCAGATGCCGAAATGCATTCGGTAGTCTCATAAACGAGTGAGGCTTTATCTCTGGGGCTGTACGCTTGCCGTCGGCCGGTGGTAATCATCTCCACTCACCCAACCAATGTAAATTTCGCTCCCATTCCCCTGATGTGTATTGCGCGTCGAAGATCAAATGGGATTGGGTTTCGTTCGAAATTTCGTCTGAAGGAGCTCCTTGTTTACTTTCGAGAAAAATCAAATCGCATTCATCTGGTTTGCGCTGGGAGTACATTGTTGAGCTTGCCCAAACAACGCCTGTTCCTGCGATCGCGAACTGACTGACTGACTAGCTAGCGGGCTAGATGGTCGCTCCGAGTTCTCGAGAAACAATATAATCCGGTTGGTGCTTGTGTTTCCAGAAACTCGTTCTGGCCATGAATCACAGGAGATCACCGTGTATTATTTTTTTTCGGGCAGATTTAGTCTCGATCGCGATTTGTAAGCCAAGCCTCTGGAATGAAGTGGATGCGCAGCGCGAATGAGCGGCGCCGCAACACCTTCGGTTCTTCGGCGACACACGATCGTAGAGTACGGATATTACGTGAGCTTCCCGAAGACGGGAAATCAGAAGAGATTCTCCGGCGGGCCATGCTGTAGAATATCGGTAATTAGGCCCGGTCCAAAACGTTCCCTGAATACATTGCAAGTCACATTCGGAGCTTACGTGCCGAGCGTCACAGTAAAACGCTAACCTGGCCTAATCGTGATCCTGGCGAAGCGTTATTAGCGTTAAGAATCGGTGACATTCGTTCTGAAGCCTAACGGGTCCAACCGGAACACATGCGATGCTGAAGAGCTGATGGAGAGATGACAATTTTCGTCTGGTGCTCCTGCCGCTCGTCTTTCGTGGAACAGCGTAGCGTCGAGCGCGCACCTGCGCTGTCTTCGCAGCGAAAACGTAAAAAGCAGTCGTCTGGTCAGTTAGACTGACAGAGAGAGACAGACAGACAGACGGACGGACCGACACAGCGAGCGAGCGATGTCTACGAGAAGAACAAAAGTAAAAGAACCAACGCCTCTTGGGTCATCGACAACGGTCTTAACAGAGGTTGCGCACGAAAGCCACTTCGAGAAAGGTACTCGTTCCGAAGACGTTCACTCGCTGACAGTCCCGCTTAGTTGATTTGACGAGCAGCTAGCGGGTGGACCGAAGAAATCGAATAGATGTCGCTTGACGAATAATTTATGATCGCAAGCACCGAACAGACGGTCTAACGGGACCTGGCTGAGAGCAGATTTTTTTTCTCTCCCCAAGCCGATCCCGAACACAGCACGTGACTTCAGATAGAGGCCTTTCGGGCCACGGTCGGCGCGGGCGGTGGTGGCGTCGACGACGACGCCGCCAAAATCACCCAAACAGGAAGACTCGATGTCTGTCGTCGATAGACGGTATCTTCTTGCGAGCGACCCCTTCTGAGCTTTATTCGATGTTTCACCATCGTTTCTGCTCGTCTCGATGTAGTGACGGAAAGTCAGGAATACGTATCAGGCAGTCGGCTTTTGTTTGCTGTGCCACGAGGTCGTATCGCCTCGCGGCTAAGCCGCGCGTCAACAAATCCGCGCACGCGTCTCCGAGAGCTTAGACCAATAATCCAATCTCGTCCGAGTCGTGCGTCCATCCGTCAGCCAGTCAGTCAGTCAGTCGGTCGGTCGGTCCGTCGGTCCGTCGTCAAAGCTTTCATCAATCTTGGATCTCCCATCAATCAATGCATAGATCACATTTCCATCAATCCATCCATCAATCGATCCTCCAATCACTCGCTCGAAAACGCGACCACGGATCTTGGAAATTTCAAACACAAATTATAATCCGACGCCGGAGTCATGGTGCGCCTGCAGAACCAGCCAGCGGGTGGATTCAGGTGTTGATGATGATGATAATGACGATGCTCGGAGAAGTTTCAGTAGCCAACCAAACAAAAGACCGACCCGAGAGCAACACCTGGGTCGGTCGATCGAGAGGCTGGCTGGTGTCTTCGCACTTTTCCCCTTCGGTATCTTTCTCCTCCTCATGCTTCCTTAGATCCACGGACAGAGCCGCGACGAGCACTGCGCGATCATCAGAAACTTTCGACAGGTTCGACGAATGACGATATGCGGTGACGCGCTTTCCGAGTGTCCGGCGGTCGACTAACCACGTTAGGGCTCTTCGAAAGGAGAGCGCTCGGGCCGCATTTCTTTCGCGCTATACCCACGAAGCCGGGCGACCGCGATCGACGGATGGGAATCCTTCTGAAAATCAATTTAAAATCTATCGAGTCCGAGCGGATGAAGTGCGTGCCTATCTATCTTGAAGTTTCGGAGTAGTTTGTCGACTATTGACAGAAGTGTTGCAGCTCATTGGCTCCATCGCTCTCTCGAACGTTCGCTCCCCGGCCGAACCGTTCCTCGGCTGGTTCGGTCTCCGGACAACTCATCCGCTCGCCCCGGTCGATGTTTGATCGGGGTCACGCAGGTGTCTACGGAGGGGTGGCGTACTGTTCGTTACCCCGTCTTCGACGTCTGAGGCCTCTGTGGGTGTTGGCTCAATCGTTCGCTCGCTCTGCCTGCCCGTCCGTTTGCCTAGCTTTTCTACTGCTTGACCAGAAGATGAGGCCCCTGATTCAAGTCCGCGAGAACTCCTCGAGCTAATCGATGGCTACGAAGACAGCTAAAGTAACACGTAGTCAGTCAAGAACTGATTGAAGTAACCAAATATCCGTGGGCGTAGGGTAGCAGCGGGGTTCCGCGTTGATCCGTCCCGGGTTCGCCCTTCTCGACGATGACAGCTGCTCGGGAAACAAACCACTGTCGAGCTTCGACTTTTCTGCCCCATTCCGATGCGGATCGAACCTCGGATCCGAATCCTATACCTCACAGAGTCAGACGTTTTCCGGCCTCGTCAGCGAGAAATCTTCGAAAGATCCACTTCAGACCGAGATCGAAATCTCAAAACCTTGACCTTTCCAGAACTCGCCGGCCTCGCGGCACGCTCCACCAACCCGAACGTTCCGGATGTAGTTCCACGTCGTTTGCCCAGAAGTCTGCCCAGGAGAGCCGCTTCCTTCAATGGAGTGGATTTCCTAACCATTGGATACGAGCTACGGAGGCTTTCGGACCGTTGGGAAGACGCTCGCCGACAGAAGGTAAATCGATCAGTCCATAGTTCCTCCATTGCAGTTTCCATTCCTGTGTCGACACGAAGAAGCAGAACACGCTTTCGTTCCATATTTGTCTCGAGGAGTCAAGGTTGGCATTGCCTGAAAGCGTCGCAGACGTCTCGAGACCTTGTGCTATCCAAGGTCGAGATGGACCCGCATTATGTAACAGCTTCCTGTGTTCGAGTCGGAACGGGTTAAGTTCGCCTAACGACTATCAAAACCTTCTGAGTAGGATTCTAAACGTCTAGACGACATTGGCTCGAAATAGAGAGAGAGAGTGACGAAGCACTTTTTTTATGAAATTAGTCTCGATGGCTGCTCGATCAGGTTGTCGGGTCGGATGGCTAGGTCCGAATCCTAGCCGAGGCCCCGACTCGGAACGACTGACGATGCTCGTAGGCGGCAATCTGTCCGCTGAGAACTCGTGCATTTGCGAGTGCGCTTTTGCGGGTCGGATCAAAATCTCGCCGCCTGGCTGGGGCTCGGGGATGAGCTGCACCGTCGTCGTCAGTGCAGAGAAGCAGCTGTTTCTAGATGATGATGATGACTGGTTGGCTGACACTGAGTGGAAGTGGTGGCGGCGGCGGCGGTGGTGTATTGTTATTCAGATATTTACAAGGGGGCACCAGTCTCAACCAGAGCTTTTGCTTTCTCTTGTTCGATTTAGAGTGCCCCGAGTTTCGTCGTCGTCGTCGTCTTCTTGGTCTTCTCACTCCGCGCCGGCGTTCGGCCATCCACCAGCTATCCAACCACCACCACCACCAGCTGCCAGATGGTGGGAGCCTCCCACACCGCCAACAGCCACCCTAAGGGGCCAGAAGACGTCCTAAGCGAACGGGTTTAGGGTCCCTAAACCATCAAGCAACCCCGAGCGATGCGAACGGCTGGGCACGCAGGCAGGCGGGCGGGCAGGTTTCATAGCTCACCGTCATCGTCTCTAAGCACACTGTGCAGCAGATTGTCATTTTGTGCTTTGTCAAAGTCACAGAGGATCTCAGCTGAGCTTATTATTCCGATACAAGGGACAGCATATTAGCCTACCGATGAGAGTCACACACATTCTCTCTCTCTCTCTAGAGACATAGGGCGCATTCGGAATTGACTTCTCGAATCCGTGCGTTTGGCTTACGCTCGTGTTTGCCGGAGATGGCGAGTGGTCGTGCTACTAATGGCCTCGTCAGTGATATAATCTGAACTGATCTCGATAGACATCGCTCGCGATAGGTGGAGGCGGGTGTCTGCCTCGACGGCTGGACGGACGGACAGACGGCCGAACGAACCGCTATCGTCAGACCGACAGCCCTGCCCACCTCATCAGCTGTCTATTCCGCCTCAAGTCGAGCAGGCAACGACACGCTGCGAGCCGTCAAATAATCGAGCAGCCACACATGTATGATCAAGATCACCTTGACAAGTGGCTGCTTCAAGAGCGTGTTCTCTCGAGCCTCTCGGCATCGATTCTGTTTACGTGTGGCGACGGTGACACTGATACTGCTGAGCAGACTGGAGCTCGTCCGGTTTGTAAATCCATCTGTTCACACAAGCGACTTTCCAAAGAGTTCTCAAGTCGTTTTCTGAGCCAACGATCGACCAATGAGCTCTCCGTCGTCGGAGTATCGGTCAGCACGAGACAGGGCTGCTGCAACGGATTTTCGGACTCGATTGGCTCTGGAGAAAATTAACAATTTTCGTTTTTCGCTCTTTCCAGAGAGCTCTGGAGAATCCGAACACGTTCATGGATTTCGTCTACAACGCTATCTCAACGAACAGGGACCGCAGAAGACCGCGAATTCCTCCAACGTTCGTGCGGTAGGAACTCTCCCCGAGGAAGGCTTTCCGTACGGATCGGGACAATCGCTGCGGAGCCGCCGCTGTCGGAAGCAACTCCTTCTCTGTCGAATACGAGAGCCCACATATTGTACATTGTAATATCATTTCCATTGTTTTCATGGCATTAATGTGCGGGATTTTTCTTTAATGAGAGGACGCTGTGTCGCTACTGCTCGGACGGCAGACGAGAGAAGCGCACCATGGGGATCCCCTCTGCAGAACAGTGTCTTGACCGCGACCCAGTGGAATTATTCTCTTATCCCCATCTACTTACGTAGTGATAACAGCAATTACGTGACAGCAACCTCGGCCCCCGAACGAATACTTCGGATCGAGAATGACTCAAAGGATAGCCCCTCCGACCTTCTATTGTCAGGGGAAGCTCGATGAGCTCGTCTCCGCACGGGAGCATAGATGACTTAATGCAATTTCAAAAAAAAGTTACCATGGAATATACGAGCGAATCTTACCAACGAACCTTAGTGAATCGATGCCGATCGACAATGCCACTGAAAGAAGCCAGCCTCCTTTTGGGGGTGTTAGAAAACAATCATTGTTAGCCTCGAGGTGTCCGCCATCTCCGTGAATTCCATCATCGGAGTAGGCCCAAACGAGCGTACATTCATTGTGCTGTGCCACTTGACAGTGAGCATGGGGAATCCCTCATTCTTCCGTAATGGGGAATTCTTCGAGAAGTGTATTAAAACAGCAACCTGGACCTCAGGAATCGTATGAACAAACGAACCAAACTTACAATCGCGATACGCATCTACGAACAGATTATATTTATATGCATTATTGTAAATATTACCATCTCCATATGGGAGAGGATGGAGAATCATGAATAAACTCTTGATGTATAAGTTTTATTCTCTGATGATTCTTTTATCCACGAATCGCGGCTAGGAACTTCCAATTTGAGTTTGGCCGACCTCGTGTCGAAGCTCCTGCGTGACTGAGATTCCAATTACCTAATTCAGTCTCAGCTGTCGTTCGATGAAAATTCGGGAGTCGAGAAGCTTACACGGGATAACTCTCTTCGGGGCTTCATTTCTTCGTCCGTGCTACACTAACTGCGAACGGAACCACTTTATCGTCCCAACGAATATATCAGCTGATTCCGGTAGGGTAAGGTTCGCCGCGATGCCGCACTTGATGCAGTCTTCCAAGAATTTCGAAACAATCTCCGTGGAGGATCCTGGCCAAGTTTCATTCATTCTGTAGTATTCGAATATTCCGAAATGCACAAGGTAGTTGTAGAAAGATGTCAAACAATTAGACATATGTTTCGTTCCCACTGAGCTTCTGAACGTCGACATCCTCACAGTGCCGAAACAAAGACGGACAGCTACGCAGCTGATCTTGTAGATCGACAAGAAAAAGCGGAGGGGGATTTTCCACTCCCTCAGCAACTTGAGACCGCATTTAGTGAACCACAGAGAAGCCACACGTGAGGTTTCTACCTCCTCTGCTCTGCGGACGTTCTGGGGCTCACAAAACTCAAGACAGAGACAAAGGGATGCGAACGACGCAATAACGAGCAAGGAGACGCATTTTAGCATCATGAGCATCACGGAACGTTTCTGAGACAGCCGAGAAAAGCAGGAAACTCGACATTTGAAAATTTCGCGCCCCGATACGTCTGTTCAAACACCACGGAACTTCGAGAATATTTCTGAGGCTGCATGAGTGATTATCATTGAAAATTCCAGCTCAGTCATGGGCGCCATTGAGGAACATTGTATCCTCAATATGCTCGCGGAGATGTCGGGAGCACGTGGCGAAGAAGACGTTGCCCTTCTATTCTTTCTGAACGCTCCTGATTTCGAAAACTGAAGCTGCTCGAGCGGCATGTCCGGGCTCGAACGCTACAGTCTCGAGAGAACTTTGAAGGAAGGTGGGGACGAGACTTGGATTCGGCTGGCCTCTCCTACAGAGCAGTCGATGGGGAGGTATCAAAACATCCGAGCTCCCTGCGGTATGATCTTCAACAGCCTCTGTGGCTCGTGAAGCAGAAGCTCTGGTCATGGTAGGGTACTTCGGAAAATCTCCCTTGGGGAGTCAGCAGAAATTCTCGATTTCCGCAGCCCTGGGGCACACGGTCGGCTTCTCGGAAGAGGACAGCGGCTCGGATGAGCTGCCCTCGAGTCAAAGCCCGACCGAGATTCTCAAAGGCCGTTCAGCGATCCTGTCGTGTCGTCATCCCCTACTTCTCATCCTATCCTAAGTTTCAGAGGATTATACTCACCGTCCTTCTCCCTGCTTTACGGAAGTCTATCTCCAACGCACTATGCAATACCGACCAAGAGGGATTCGAACTCGAGAGTCACCTCTCTAACCCGCTTGTAACTCCTGCCGTCGGCTATGCTTGGCAACCCCGAACTCAGGCGTTCCTCACGTATCCTAGTCGAGTCTAGTTAAGAGCAGATAAGACGTAGTTCCTTCGATAGACACGGAGGCCTAAATTTGTGCCGTTCGGCTGAGCTCGCACCGTCGGCCGCGCGGTCATCGGGTCGCGTGCAACCGAAAAGCGTAGATGTTGCTCACGGTGCCTATACATTTGCGCGCAAGTCAACTTGCGCGCAGCGTCGATTTGAGCGCAGGTACAACTAGCGCGCACCTCCAATTTGAGCGCAGCCTCGATCAGCGCGCACCTCCAACTTGAGCGCAGCTCCGATTAGCGCGTGCCTCCAAATTGAGCGCGGTACCGATATGAGCGCAGATACGATTTGCGCGCACCGCGGTTTGGCGGATAGATGATTCGTTGAGACTTTCGTGGAGAAATGGTTCAGATGTGAAGGCCAGCAAAAAGACGGAGCGTCACTTAATTTATTCGGAATAGCTCGAACACACTAATCACATATTGAACGGTGATACCAACTGTTATCTTGCGCTACCTCCCGGCTATAGACTAGTCATGAGCACTCATGATCTTGACGAAAAACGGGAGTTACCTGCCCGCCAACCGCGATGGTGACGACAGACTCAATAACGTTGGAGTAAACCGTGGCGGGTCGATCTGAGTTTATTAAGTTCCTTTAGGTAATTTTTTCTGAGTTTAGGCGCCCAGCACCCAACCCTGCCTAAGCTTTTGGAATGCCTGAGAGTGGAGCAAGCTAAAACAGAATTCACGGTAACGAACTCTCTCGCTCAAGAACGTACCAGCAAACCGAGGAAGTTTTATCGAGATCGAACGAAACGGCTGGCAGAGGTCGTCGAATTCTATACCAATCGTCCGAGGTTGGAATATTTGAAGGCCATTGCACACAATATAAAATTGTGAGGATCGATGTGTCTTTTAGTCCTGAAATAGTCTTAGTCCTGACAGAAGAAAAGCTTGTGCGATAGTCTGTGATAGTCTGACTCAGATCATCGGAATTTTCTTGAATGAATTAATTGACGTTCAGTCGAATGGAGTGTGAAGTTCACGTGATTAATTTTTTGTTCTTCTTCTACATACTGCCCGCGTTCACATCTAACTCCTGACTATATCCTCCGAAAGTCTCAACGAATCATCTATCCGCCAAATCAGCGGTGCGCGCAAATCGTATCTGCGCTCATATCGGTACCGCGCTCAATTCGGAGCTGCGCGCTAATTGGAGCTGCGCTCAAATTGGAGGTGCGCGCTGATCGAAGCTGCGCTCAAATTGAAGGTGCGCGCTAGTTGTACCTGCGCTCAAATCGACGCTGCGCGCAAGTTGACTTGCGCGCAAATGTATAGGCACCGTTGCTCACCCACGAAGAAGTTGGATCAACGCCTAATATTTTTTGGCCATGAGCATGTGTTGCGAGTGCCACCTTCCACTCGTCTAGTGTGAGCGTCACTACCGAGCGGGGAAGTCTCCGGAAACAACTTTGCGTTTGGTTTCCGGAGTAGCGTGAATCATCATGGAGCTCCACCAGAAATGGCGGACTGCGGGTGCGGTCACGTCGGAGCTTCCACAGCTTTGAGATCCTCTTCGGGAATTCCGTAGAAGTTAATATTCGAAACCGTACCGGTCAAGGTGGAATTCGACCCGGGTCTTCTCAAATCATGATATAACATAGGCATGGGGGGTAGCGCGTTCGGTCAAATAAACATCAATGATGCGTTATCATCATCATCGCGTAATCAATAATAAGCTCGCGCGCAAAGAGAGTGGCGCGAGCTGGTCGATTATACCCCTTGAATGCCGCATTATCGGCCGGCGAAACTCACCCGGAGCCCTGAAGGACCCACGCTTATACTTCTTTCAGATCGCAAGTTCCCGCGCGGAGAGGTAAATGACCTTAGTGCGCCTCCTATGTACCGCCCACAAGTGGACAGCAATTGTCAGAGCAATCATAATGTTTTTCTCTCCGTGCTTGACTCGCCTTCCTCCAGTCGTATTCTTAGGTTGAGTGAGTTTTGCTAGAAGACCGGAATTCAAAGATTTGATATATGTTGACGAACACCGCAAGAACTCCCGAACAACGCCAAGCGACCGGCTCTCGATCGCGCAGTCATGTAGGTCACAAGGGCCTATGAATCATCGCTACCGCACAAGTTTACTGTATTATCTACAAGAGCTGTCAAGCCAACAGACGTTATTGACAGTCTCGGAGCGAATCAAGAAGAGTCGGATTCATTTTCAGTCCGGCGATAGCGCGCGCTTAGCGGAGCAACTCAAGTGCCCGGAGGCAATCCGCTGTCTGGAAACACGGGGCTACCTATATTAGAATCCTGACTGCTCTAGCTCAAGCTGGTGATACATATCTGAGCTAACAATAAGAACACGGTTTCGAAAAAGATAGCTCATGAATGATACGAAAGGGAACGTCTGATCGGACGATCGTAGTCGCTGCAAAGTACTAACTTCTGTCGGCAGCTGGTGACTTGAACAGGCAAAATTGTATGACTCTAACATTTCCTGCCGCCCTCATCTCGATTCCGAAACGAATGCAAACTCTTATACGCCACCGATCGCACTCGTCGGAATGAAAAACACTCGCGGGCAAGTCATGACTTGTCACAGGCTTGCAGAGGAAAGACAATCTTCGTGCCAGAACAGCTATCTCTTCGTGGGCGCAGTAAGTGGCGCTTTGAAAAAAAATCACTCAATATATCAGACGGGAGCTCCCATAACGGTTCCAGGGATCAAGTGAAACTCGACGTTCATCCTATCTGACCTGATTCGATCTTCTGAGTGAGTGACTGAGTCAGCTGAGCGAAAGCGGCGGCGGCGGCAGCAACTCCGATAGAAGCGTCGCGACATTGCAGAGAAGTGGCGAGAAGTGTTCCGCATCGAGTACATAAATAACATCTACTGTTCTCTAACCGTGCTGGCTCTCGAGAAGCGTTCTCCCCGGTCGTTAATAATTCTCTTTGACTTCTGCATTAGAATGAGGGGGACAGAAAACAGATCTCATCGCTCGATTCTCCTGTGGTTAGATCCAGTCATAAAACACATTGACAAGCGGAAACCATTTGCCTTAGTGGGTCTCTCTAGCTCTCGGCGCTTTTCTTCTTCTTCTTCGACCCTCCCGTTGAGCCGCGTGGAAATCTCGACGTTCCGTCGTCGTCGCACGAGACGACAGACAGCGCTGAGTCAAACCTTCGGGAGAATTGCTCCAATCCCAATATGATCCGGAGCTACGGCAGCTACAATTACAGCAATGTTGGTAAGGCTCACCGCCGCCGAGTGAGACGAAGTAGACGATGCCGCTACACAAAAGTTTGATTGCTCTGCCCGCTATCGCCCGGACCCTTGTTGTTGGCGTCTGTCGGACCCGGGCGATGTGCGCGTTGAGTTCTTTTCCCTTTTTGAGTAAAGCAATAGCGACTTTTGCTTCCTCCTCTGAGATTTGTCAGGTGCGATGGCCCTGAGGTGGACGGGCAACCGAACCACTCAACGAACGAATGAACAAGCAGGCGGGGGAGCTGAGGGGCCCAACGAACATCTGTTGAACTCGACATCCCTCTTTTTCTTGGGGACTCTTCGACGACCGCGCCGACCTCGGCGCGAACTGTCCGACCGCCTGTCTTCTCGCCGTCCTCAGCTCAGGTGATGTTACGAGCAAGGAACCACAAGTGCTTTGTAGGCACGGTGTTTTTTCTTTCCACTGTTATCTCAACACGGAACGGGGCTGTCATGCCTTTTCTTCGGGGAGCTTTCTCGAGTAGGTAACACGGAGCACGTCTTGACAAGACTCCAGACCGCTGGAGGTTCGAATATCGGATACGGCAAGGGATTCGTCGTTTCATCAAGGCTTCGGATTGACCGCCGGCAAATACAGACTGTCGAGGACAAAGGGCTTCCGAGCGATAAACACGACGGTTGGTTCATGTTGATTTTTTTATAAACCGAGCACCAAACACGTAGAGGCTGCATAATGCAGGGCTTCCGCAAAGGTTGCGGAGCGAACTTCGGGAGCATACCATAACGAATTTGCACGACAGTGAACATAAGGTGATCAAGGGGACCAATGAAGGGGATAAGATGCGGAACCGTCTCGACTCGAAAATTATTGATGACGAAAGGGGGAAGTATTTTAGAGATTGTATTGCGTTTCCAGAATCATGCGAGCATATTTGTTTTCGAGACGGAGCTTCCGTCCTACCGCAGAACATGCAGCTGCCAAATTTCGTTGCGTCGAGAGCATTCATCCTTCATTCTCGTCGCCCTTGGCTTTGCTCTTAAGGAGCTGCTGGTATTGGAAGAATCTCGAATTCACTGACGTGCCGGAGGTTCAGCGCTCGAGAAAGGCAACTACTCACGACGACCCGGCTGGGTTCCGAACATTTCTACATACCACATTTATCGCGATCGGTCCAGCATCCATTCAGGGTGCTAGACTAAGAACACTGGCCTTTGAGAACTCGAGCCGAGAACGTGGAGTCCCGAGGACAGGAACTCGAGACTCTGACTTGGCAGCATCTTGAATCCTGATCGAATCGGAAGGGAAACGCGCTAATTTGACAGTGTTTGGAGAATAGGGAGTCGCGCGTACGGTCTCGCCTGATTTATCGCGATGTCGATCCGATTTCACTTCGGATTGAAATCTCTCTCGGAGGTAGTGACCCGGCTCAAAGTATAAATTCCGCGGGCAGATTACGAAGGACGCAAGAGAAAACTCCGGATGCCTTCCCTTGAGGTGGACTCGGATGAGAAATGAGGCTGCCTGAATGAATGTTTCCCGGAGAAGGCTTTGCCGCACACGTTTCTTTAATGATCTGGAACCCATGACAGCCCGATTAATATAAGGCACGGGCTGAATGCAAAGGGGAGGTCTCGAAGTGAGCTTGACATTCTTATTCGCATATAGCGTCAAACGGATCTCAACCATGCGGATGCGAAGATTCCAGGTCATGTCGCGGCCGAGGGACAACAATCGGGCGTTTCTAGATACGATATTCTCTCGTGATTGATTCCCCATCGAGGAACCGAGCTCCTAAGTAGTTTCGTCCGGACATTCCGCCAAGTCTCCGCCGCAGATGACGAGTTCTTTATGACTCGGGCGACTTCGATCTCGGAGCCTTAAAACTTCACGCTGAGCGAGAGAATGTATGTGGGGAATGGAGGACGTCGAAAGCACTATCTTTTCCGAGCCACTATCAGAATTCTCTGGAGGTCATTGGAACGATAAATGAAGTTCATTAACAATTTATTTCTCCTTTCTGAAACCACGCTGGTAATTTACATGAAGGCATTATATACGGTGATATATCACTACTAGAGGAATTTGGGGAGTAAGCCCCAGCTTTGATCTCCTTCTTGCAGAACCCTCCTCTCATCGGGGCTCAACTTCAACATGGTCACGAGCACTGGCACGAGTCTCTCCCTCTCTGACTTCATGGTCAGATACTTGAGGACCACGTTCTTCAAATACTCCAAATTTCCGAATTGCTCTTCACGTTCCTTGTTCCGCTCCAGACGGCGAACTTCTTCCTTCAGGACGCGAACCTGCTCACTCAAACGCAGATTGTTCACCTCGCTTTCGTTGAGCAGTTCGGTGAAGTGATCGATGCGTTTCATGGCCTCCTCGAGTCTCGAAGTTATCGACTCGAAGGTCTCGAAGGAAGGGCAGTCTTGATGCTCCAGTAGCTTGTCAAGAGGTTGGAAGCCCGAGGACGGGATCACATCGAACGGCAGACTCCTGAAACTCGGTGCGTTTCCAGTGGACTCGGATCCTTCCGCGGGTTGGCGTACCGGCGTGTCGAGGAATACATCTAGAAGATATCATAATTGAGTCCCGAATGACCAGAGATGCGTTCTGACCTCGATCGTCACAGAAAAAAGAATCGCTCACCATTATTATTGACGATATTGCAGCTGTTGCTGCTTATCACAGGCGAATGAGATGCATCTCGACTCTTCCGCTCCTCTAGGAGGTTCTCTAGCTTGGATCGAGCCTCGACGAGTTTCTCTTCGAGAATGTCGACAAGGTTGCTGTGCGCCATCTCGCGTCTCTCGAATTCCTGTTTCTGGCGAATCATCATCGCATCTATTTCCGCTCTGTGAGCGGATTCGAGCTCCAGCCGCAAAGCTCTCTTCTCTTCTTCGATCGTAGCCGATAAGGCAATTTTGTCCTGCTCGTAACGCGCTCTGAGATCCTTTTGGGAAGTTTCGCAGGCCTCCCGGAGCTTGACTATCTCCTGCAGAGCCGCTTCCAGGTCTGATTTCGAAGTCTCGAGCTTCTGCGTAAGTTCACTCACCGCAGCCTGCAAAGGTACCAGGTGAGAATCTCAATCAGCGCTTAGGTATCCTCTCTTGACTCTGATTCACGGAGCGGATGCCGTGTTCCTCCAACGAGCTAGATACCTACCTTCAGGGCCTGATTTTCAGTCGTGTCGATAAGCTCCGCCTTCTTTTCCGGGGCTTCTTTTTTCTGTGAAAGAAACACCTTTCGCTCAGAAAGCTCGCTTTCCGGAGAATTAGAAGCATGAAAGGTTGAGCTCGAAGCTCCTATGGATCCGGACCGTACCGTTTTCATCATAGAATGGACTTTCAGCTTATAGGCTTCGAATTGTTTCTTCGACTCCTGCAGCTCGAGTACCGCGGTGTCGTAGTCTTTCTTGAGAGCATTGGCCTTTCCTTCCAATGTGCGTACCATCCGTGACTGTGAATCCTTCTGCGTCTGCAGTGATTCTTGGAGCTCGTGAATTCGTTGACATCTCTCCGATTCTCGGAGGCGGAGTTCACTCAGATCCTCGTTCTTGCTCTGGAGCTGCTCCTCGGTCGTGGTCAGTGACGCCTCAAGGAGCTCGATTTGGCGTAAGGCCTCGGCCAGTTTGTTGTGGGTGTCTTCCAATTCGTTCTCGAGACGCTCGCGTAATCTCGCCAAGTCGTCGGCATCCGCAGCTCGCGTCGAGATCTCGTTTAGCCTCACTTCACACTGCGCTTTCTCAATGACTAGTTTCTCGAAGGATTCTTTCGCGAGTTTCACTTCGCTCTCCAACTGCTTGTTGCGAGCAATCAGCTCTTGTCCTTCGTCGACAGCGTCTCGGTGCTTTTCGAGCTGCTGCTGCAACCCTGAAACCTGAATGCAACGAGAACCGTCTAGATTCGCTGCAGTTTACTCCCAATAGAACATCTCGGCTTGGAGCCTGCCGACTGAGAAGAGGATGCCAGAGAAAAATTCTCACCTCGACTTGCAGGGTCGTGGTTTGCTGGATATGTTGGCTCAACTCGTCTCGCAGTCGGTCCACTTCCTGGCGACTCTTCTCGAGCTCGTTCTGAACGACGAGAACTTGCGCCTCGGCTTCGGCCCTGACTGCGTCGGCTGAGTGTATTCCAGTCTGGAGTCTTTCGATCTGCGGGTGATAATTTGTGAAATTTTCATCGGAGCCGAATGGAAAGCATCTGCGCCCTCGACTTGTAAGAGCTACAGGAACGGCTAGGAATCCATCCTACCTCAACGAGGAGCTGACGTTTCTCATCGTTCACTTGGGATAACTGCAGTTCCATGTCCGCAACTCTTTCCATCGTTTGGGCGATTTTCTTCTGCAACTCTTTTCCGGTATTCTTCTCTGCCTCCAATTTGTCAACGGCTTTATCATACTCGTTCTGAAGACTCTGAAGAGTGGTAAAACAATATCACATCAAGGAGGTGTCGACGCTTGAATCGCTCAGCGAAGGATGTCTTTGACGGTACTCGATTCAGGATGTTTCGCGTATCGTCGGAGAGGTCCACCTTCTCCGCCCCTTCGAGAGCATCCAAGGAGCGGACGCACATACTTAGCCAGGTAGACCTGGCCGAGACCTGCGAAGTCCGCCGGCGGCCGGGATCGAACTTTTCCCTCTAGAGGCGATTTCTTTCATCTCAAGGGAGAGTACGGGGATGCGCACATTCTGCATGAGGCGCACTGGACGGGCTCGCCCCTCAACTCTTCTGTCGGCTTGAGATGATCCGTATCGGAACGAGCGTACTTACTTGTATATTATTGGCCATTAGGGGTTGTTTCGCTTTGACTTCGACCAGCTCTTTCTTCATTTTGACGAGGAGATTTCTCAGTTTCACAATTTTCTCGTCCCTCTCCTTGAGCATCGCGACGGCATCGGAGTTGGCGTGCGTGTCGGCAGCGAGTGGGGTCGGGCTAGTTGCTGGTGTTGAATTCCGTTCACCGATTGCTTTGATGTGAGTTATGAGCTGTTGGAGACTTTTTCGTAGCCACCTGCGAAGGCGGATACCAAAGACGACTCAAACCTTTCCCGTCTCGAGACTGGAAGACGGAGTAATCGGGGGAGGCAGCCAAGATAGTGCTCGGACTGGTCATCGGGAGCATGTCCCTGCAGACGGCGGTTCTAATCCACTCACGTTTCCATGGGATCCTCAGAAGCCCTCATCCGCTGCATTTCTTGTTCGACATCGGCAAGCTTCTCGGAATCCTGAGCCAGCTGCTCGAACAATCTCAAGAGCTTGCAAGAGACGCTACAGCCGTCATCAGGATGAGAAAACACATTCCTGAAAAGAAATCCAGTCGCCCTGAGCTCGTTGGCGACTTCTCTAATTCACCAAATCGAAGCATCGACTCGGCACCGGAGTGAATCGTATGGCTGGGAGCACTCACCGATTCGTTTGTTCAACCATATCATCGATCGTGGAGTGGAGCGATTCGATCAAGTCGGTCTTTTGAACCTGGAACAAGCAACATGGAGATCAGACTCACATCGAGCGATGTTTTGCTTCCAGCTCCATTGCCTTCCTGTTCGACTAACCAGTGACTCCTTCAAAATCTCCAACTGAGACCTCAATTCTGTCGCTTCAGCTCCCAAGCGTGCGTTCTCTGTCTCCTTTTCACTCATACTCTGCTCGATACTTTCCAAAGAAGCCTGATGTGAGTTGACGGTGCGTTGCGCCTCCTCGCGGAGATATCTCTCGTTTTCCAGATCGGACTCCAAACTCGTTACCCTGAAGAATATGGGAGCCTAAAGACGTTTCCGAATGTTCGGGAAACCGTCAACGGCGGAGCGGATCATCGAGATCTCCCGATTAAGACGAATCAGAGCTCATGATTACCTCTCCCGGAGAGCAAGCAATTGACTCTCGGTTCGGGCCTCATCGCAGGAATTCTTGTCATCGTCGGTGGAATTAGCTTCTGCGGGAGAACTCATCAATTGTTCCAGCTTCAGTTGAGTCTCCTCAAGTTGATTGGTCAGGGCCGTTGTCGTTGACTTCAGGATCTGACATTCCTCAGCGATTTCGAGTTGTTTTTGTTCTGTTTCCGACCGTTTCTGCTTCTCTACGTCCAAAGCAGCTTTGAGAGTTTCGGCCTGGGGGCAGAATTCGAATGAGGAGGTGCTCGAGAGATCAGGTGCCGCGAACGCGAAAAGGGGGGCATAACTTTTTTCCACAAGGGAGGCAAGTGGAGCTCACGTGTTCGGTAGCTTCGCTGAGACTGGACAGTAGCTTTTGCTTCTCCTGTTCGAGCGTTCGCGAACACTCAGCCCCTCGAATGAATCCTTGGAGCTTGGGCTTGATGGTCTCCCTGAATTTTTCTAAACCTTCGCCCGGATCTTGCGGCGGACTGAGCTGTAGTATTTCCTCGGTCATGTCACAACTGAGGTAGAGGAATCGTTCGACTTGATTCACGGGTGATTCGTAGATGACCTTCAATCCCTTGACCAACAGCGCGACAGTTTTCATCAGCTGAGATTTGAATTTATGGAGCCTGCATCAAGAGGGAAACTTCAGATTTAATTCGTCGATACTACGCCGGGATCATCGACGATTCCAGGGTCACGCCCTTCGATCAGGGATCACTTACTCAGTCTTCGCTATAGTTTCTTCTTGTGAACTCCTCTCAAGACTGTCGCTCAGCTGGAAGATGTGAGCTTGATCGTTGTCGTGATTGGCGGTCAGAGTTCTTTCGTTGCTCTCGAGCGTCTCGATACGAGACAGCATTCTATGTTGAGTCTTGAGGAGCGACTGCCTCTCTTCTTCCATCTGGAAAACCGACGGGGTCGGGTGAATGTCGCGACGAGTACGATGAATCGAATTTCCATTTCGCTTCCCATGCCGACAAAGAGACACGACTGCAGCGTCCTCTCGTGCTCCTATCCGCTCACTTCTGTATTACGCGATTCAGACTGCATTAATTCCTCGCGGAGTTCGCTGAGGATGCGTTCAGATTCATCCTGATGGTTTTTGAGCTCTGTTTCAAGATTCGAGGACTTCTCATTTGCTTCTTTCAAATGCGAAGTCAGATCCTCATTTTCGTCGAGCAGCTGCAATCATAAAAAAAAACATTGATCAGCGCGCAAAATATCAAGCTCGACTGTGAGAAATACGCAGGAAAAACACTTCCTTCATCGAGCGGATTCCTTGATATCCAATCTGAAAGAGGTCCTCGGTGAAACCGTACCTTAGCGATTTGTTTCTCGAGGTCCAAGGCGTTCTCTTTAATGTTCCCTAAAGACTCTAACTCTTCGAGAAGATTCCGTTTCTCTTCTCGGAGCAGGTTCAACTCATTCGTAGTCTCGTTGAAATCATTCAGGTTTGCTGAGTTGGCCTGCACCTGACGCACGGTCTCTTCTAGCTGAGCTTTTTGCGCTTCTAATTCCTACAGGGAACCGCCAAATTGGAATGAGTACACTTGGGCGTGATTCTCCTGAGGATTGCTGTGACAGCGACATTAGCATACGAATGTTTGATACTATTTCACTTCACCTCCATCTTTCTTGAGAGATCGTTGCGGATCTGACCCTCCTCTGTGATCTGAGATTGAAGGACACCATTTTGTGCTGATAATTCGTCCAGCTGTGCCAACAACCGAGACTCCTTTTCCGCAGATTCGGTTTTGTGCTCTGGAAATAGAATCGGGAAGTGTCAAAAAGATCCGGGTCAGGTACCTCACAAAAAATCATGCTCCAAACAGTAGGATGCTCAGGCGTCGCATACAATCTTCGGTATCCAGGAGGAGATGAAAACCTCAGAATTTGAAGGACACCCGCGAGGGGACCCCGATCGTTTCGTGGAACGGAGGCAGATCGACGATTTCTGATGCCCCCGTCGGAATCGTACATTGAATTCGGTATACGAGGTATTGCTATAGTGTTCTTCTCTCGCTGCTTCCAACGATTCCCATGGTCATTTCAGCGCGGAAAAGATACTCTCTCGGGGCCTCACACATCGCGCTGTCACAGGATCAAGAAATTCCCTACCAAAATTTCATCTTCATGATAGCGACGGCACGATCCTCGCAAACCAAGATCAGGAGGTTGGAGCTTTTGATCTGCTTGTGTTCCGCCCCATCCCTCCATGCCATTCCCAATTGCCTTCTGCTAAACGATAAATTCACGGGTCTTACCGTCGAGCTTCGCCTTGGTCTTTTGGAGGAGCAAAACTTGTCGCTTACAGAGTTTCAGGAGCTCGTCGCGGTTCTGCTCCTCTAGCGTGGGGGGGGGGGGAAAGTGAGCGTCAGGTCCCTGATATCGAATCCACTAAGCATAGGATAGAGCCACTTGACAAGGCTGGCCCCGTGGATAATAAGGGGATCGAAACCATTCGTGAACCACTTCTTTTTACTCACAGGAAGGCTCGCTTTCGGAGCGTCACCGGACTCAGCCATTTCGCATCCGGACGCACGATGTCCCGTTGTCAGAAATAATCTGGATGGAAATATTAAATGAAACCATCTGGTAAAGTGATCGGATATAGCAGGTGCCTACTCGATATAAGGCATTCTACTCTATAGGATCTAGTGTTTCATCTCGGTCCCCGTTCGTGTTCCCGATGAACGATAGTGCTGGTTGAGCTCTTTTCGGTGGAGAATTTCATGGAGATTGGGCTGAGCGAATGAAATTTTGTTTATCGGAGTCCCCCAATCGCCTCTGCTCTTAAGTTTTCCCCCGAACATTGGACGCTTCTCCCTCCCGTCCCACGATATTCTCGGACTCGGGACTCCAAGTTGTGACCTTTTCCAGCAAGAGTCATTGATTCTGTTCGGACGGAACCTGTCTGCGTCAGGTGTCGGAATCGGACTTACGATAAGACAGCTCATGTAACGTCATCACTATCTTGATCTGTCTAGTTCAATGACTATTCAGCAGCACTGAGAGCAGACTCACCTCTCATCCGGAAAAGGCCCGAACGTGCTGGAGGAGCCGAAGCTTTCGAAATAACAGTCAAAATGTGTCAAGGCATTTCAGGTGCAAACACAGCCCAGCTGGGTTCGGATGAATCCGAATGTGATGCTGAGGACTAAATACGCTCAGCAAACCGGCACGCGTGTGAGCTTCCCAATCCGCTTCAGATAGAAGCCCCCTTCCGGTGAGGTTATCCATGGAACATCGAGAACTCTTTCCTCCGTTGGACTCCGTGGTCACAACATCCGATCGAGCCCTGAGACTCTGCGCCAGTGCTGTCAGAGTTCCCGAGAAGCGAGAACGAAAGACCGCGCACCTCTCGGAAGCTAGATGAAGAAGCAGCCTGGATACTGATGGTCGTCGTGGCGGCGAACTTCGAACACAGACAGTAACAGTGACTGCGGATTATCCAGCGCCCACTTAAATGACTGGCATGAGTTCCATGGTCCTGAGAGACTTGATGGGTCCCCTCCGAGATGAAGAATCGATGTGGGTCGACCGAACTGGATCCTAACCAAGAGCGGTGACAACCGTTTTCTGCTAGAGCAATGTTCCCGCAGCGCATGTCCGAGCTCGACGCAATGGGCTCCTAGACGCGAATTAGGCCCCGATCTTGCGAGTTTCGGTGGATCTTTCGACATCTCCCCTCCCCCTGAACTGCAGGGGTGGAAGGGCTGCGGTTGTTCTATCATCCGCTGACACTGGACTCCGCAGGGCTGTTCCACAGAGTGCCCCTGACGTCTCATTCGCCCCCTCTATTATCTCTGCGGGGACAGGGATTGAATTCTGCTCCAATCATCCCCAGATACCGCAGAAGAAGTTCTGAGATCGATTACATATGCGGAGCCGAGGAATGAATGAGCCGTACGGTTCCATTGCGTTTCATGGAAGTGTAGTACATATGGCAACCATTATCAGAAGCTCGGTGGACCAGAGCCGCGGCAGCCAGCACAGCGACAGACAGACATCCACCGCGGTGAAATCCACAAGATAATGGAAGCACGCTCTGCCGAAATCTCGCCGATTCGCGAGCAGCTCGGTACGGGAGACCGAGGCAGTTTACCGCGCACAGTCTGGACTCTAAATGGAGAATGAGATCTGTGATCAGGTGTTCGCCTCCGAAGGAGAGAGTCAAGTTTCTTTCCTAAACAAAAACAGAACTCTGAAGGTTACCGGCGCGCGCGGGATTTTCTCCATTCCAATCCGTGAGTCTCTTCAATAATTGGAGTCCCGCTCCTAGAGGGAGGGTTTTCTGCGGTAGGATCTCCCTGGGGCTGGAGGTCGAAGACTGCGCGAGGTACAAGCTCCAGTTCTTCCGGGAGCGATATTCGGGGACTCCCGGCGAACGCCGTGAATGAACGCTCATGATTACTTCTTCTCTGAAGCTGAACCGATTCGATTCTCCGTCCGTCTGCGAAACGCGACAGTTCCAAGTGGCACCTAGTTTCTAGCGGATCCCTCGAGGGTTTCAGTCTGCGGGTGAGAGCCCGCTTAAATCTGTCATATTCAACGATCTGCATCGATTGGTAAGGAGAACCACCCTGATGGCTGGTGGGTCAAGGAGTCCGGCACAGACGAATGTATTATATGCTCCCAACATGCTGCACCATATGTGCACTCTTGGATAGAGCAAAGTTTCCGTATCCTATGCCAATTTCGGGGTAAGACACATTTTCGTAGGTTTTCCTTCCAGAAGAATGATGCTTGAGTTTCTATTCAAGGGCCCACGTCCGGGAGGCGAGGCCGTTCCTGACACGGGATGTTCACTTCTCGGCTCCGCGTAGCCGCATCTGCCGGACTCGTGGGGCTCATGGCCGGAGCCGCGGCTACGGAATGTTTCCGGAACTCTCCGCGAGTGGAAGCGGCAACACTCATACCTCTGCAATCGACAGCCGTCGAGCACAGACCCAGGTATGCCGTTGCCGGGCGATGCCGCACTCCTATTTTGTTTGACGATATTCCTGTCTCGACGTCCATCAGCTTAAGACTCATTATCAGCTAGCGATTCCTCCTTCAGCGAGATCATGAAACACGGTTTCCCCGGTATGGACAATGTACGCTTCTTCTCCGACTACGTTTTGTCATATGACAAACGGAATCGAACCGCACACTGGGTCATGGAGCGACTCACGGCTGAGAGTATCAGAAGGAGCGACGCTGTCAAACGAGAGAATTGTGAATTCCGGGAAGATCCCTCGGTAAGACGGCTTCACTAATTTCCCGCCGCGCCTTCGAATGTATGGAGTTCATTTAGGCTCAAGAGCTCATTTAGGTTTATTTCCCTGAAGATACATCCGTACTTCCGATCTTCGAATGCTGACTATAAACGGTCCGGCTTCGATAGAGGACATCTAGCCGCCGCTGGAAACCATAGATTATCCCAGCAGCATTGCGATGAAACTTTCTTCCTGTCCAATATGTCCCCGCAAGTTAGTATCTTGAATCCTCGCGCGATCTTACTCTACGTCCTGTGAGATTTCCGACCCGTGTCCCCTTTCCCGAATAACGGAAGGTCTCGAACGTATTCCTAAGCGTCGAATTCCAGGTCGGCAAAGGTTTCAATCGAGATTCCTGGAATCGTCTGGAGAACCACATGCGCCAGCTCACCAGAAACTATAAAAATGTTTACGTTTGCACCGGACCCCTCTACTTGCCAAGGTATTCCAGAGACCCGAATTCGTAGTTCCTTCTGCCCGAACCAACACCATGGGCCTGTCCGAAAGCTCTGCTCTCCCATGGTCTCGCTCCCCCCTGAAATCGAATATTTCCGCAGGCGAGAGGCGGATGGCAATAGCTACGTTCACTATAGAGTGATAGGGAACAACAATGTAGCTGTTCCCACGCATTTCTTCAAAGTTGCGATCTGCGAAACGAGCGCCGGTGAGCTGGACATGGAAGCCTACGTCATGCCGAACGCTGTGATAGATGACGCGACCCCTCTGCAAGCCTTCCAGGTAAGAACCGTCGGACTCCAACTCGTACTTCGGACTACGATGTTGTTCCGTTTGAATAGTCTTCGTCATCTCGCATTTCATCCTCCAGGTCCCTCTCGATACAATCGAACGATCCGCTGGGTTGCTGCTATTTGAAAGAGTGGAAAACTTACGTTCCCTCAACGGTCGCGCCCCGCCGAAGATGCTAAGACCAAAGCTAGCATAAATAATTCTGGTGTCATAAAAAATTGAAAATCCCGATTGGAGTGTCGAATCGCTCCATGATGACTGTTTGTGTGTCTCTGAGTGATTTCATGAAAATCGAGAAGATGACCGAATAAATGCCTCCGGAGACATAAAGAAAGCTCGGGAGAAATGGAGACTTGCGCATAGCTCGGAGAGCTCCCGGAATCCCAAGATTGTCACCCCTGCTAAGAAGGCTAACACTTCTGATTCTGATTCATCTGTTCACCTCACTCAACTATGCGCTGCTGCGATCTGTAATTCGATCGAACCGCGAGTGCGCGGTTCCATGAGCGCGTTTGAATTTGCCGCGTCAGAACCTCGATGGCTAGATGCAGTTCGGCATCCAAACGCGGATTTCTGCTCCTCAGCTCCAAGGAAACCCAACTTCATAAAGAGCGCATCTCTCGGAAGTCTTATGACGCCTATGGAAAGTTTCTAAAATTTCAGCAGCCCCACTCGGAGCTGGAGAAACTTTTCATGCGCTGCATCTCTATCGGTGCTCATCCTTCGTAGTTGAAGCAGGCTCTTATTCGCTTTCGCGATGAGACCGTGGCCGGGGGTCGTAGTGCTTTTCTTAGTGGCGGGCCCCTTTTGGGGACCCGTGGCCGCTATCGAGCCGGTTTCGATGGCAGTCGGAGGGGTAGCAATCGCCGCATCGGCGGGCTTAGCCTGGTTCAGTGCCTTCAAATGTCGGCACGAAGAATGTTGCGAAGAACCGTGGATCAGAAGAATAAGTGAGTGCCGACTCCCTTCTAGGGTGCCGAGATTTGCCGCTCGGATGAGCATGAAAAAAATTGTTCCACCGTCGATTGTCCCGGATCAGACCCAACTCATCCATCTCATTCATTCTATTTCAGAATGCACGGGTCAGGGTAAAGGAGGCAAAGACGTCAAGGACAGTGAGTACGAAACTAATCGGATACACCGTAGGTATTCTGTAAGCAGCTAGCCTCTCGACAGGACTTCTGTCCCGAATGGATCGAGCGGTGATCATGGGCCAAGGAGGTGCCCCGAAATGGTTTGAGAATGGTTAGATTCTTAAATCTTCGCACGATTTTTCCCTCGATCCATGAAGGATTTGTTCTCGTTTGTTGTCATTAGAGTCGATAATCCCTCGGCTCGTCAAAATCACCCGGTAATGAATCTGTGTGCACGCATTTGAGCGGAAGTTTCTGAGTGACAATAATATCGGTTTCTTCCTCGCGATTTTGTCGGAAAACTTCCGAGGGAAGCATGTGCACTCCGCTGCCATTGAGAACGCGAAATTGAACGTATTGATCTCGGAAGAGTAGACGTCGACTCCAAGAGCTGATGTCGCATGAAGTTTTTTTTTCGAGTTGCGCCTGTTTCGAGGAATCTTGTTCATGGGAAATCAGATATTTGTCCATACGCTTCACCTTGCGGCTCTGGTCGAAGCGGCCGGAAAGGCTAAGAATAAGTTTGGCCCAGGCTCGAGTCTCTGCGAGTGAGCCGTAGGCACAGAGCATCTCAGCACCGACGCCGTCTTCTTGTAGGTCGCTCGCCGGCCTCGGCTCGCCGCCCTTTTACATAATCGAGGTGGGCACTAGCTTTTCGATGAGGGAAATCAAGTTTCTGAGTTTCCCCATTCGATCTGTCGAGAAGCCGATCGGCCAAAGACCGTTCTGATTGCTTTCGAAAGAGTTTCGGGGCGGAATGCTTTTCGTCCGCGAAACGTTATCCGGAGAAAGAGGAACGAGGCAAGAATGGGATTTCAGCGAGATCGCGAGCCCTGTCTCGTAGGTACCTATTCCGCGTGCATATTCTCGAATTAGGTAGACCGAGACCTGCTTTCACGCATGACCGTAGTGAAGCGAAACTCATAATGAACTAATGAGTGCAGTGGTTTTTTCGCACGTTCAGGTAACGTCACCCTCGAGGAGAACGACTACCATTGTGAGTCTGATGTGTTTATTGTTTTGCATACTAATCCGAGTGGTACGCCGAGATCGCGTCGATATCGTCGCCTATGTCTTCCAAGTCGTCACGACGACTCCCAATCGAGCGAGTTTTAGAGGAAACTTTCACAACGAGTGCGTTCAACTCTACAGATTTGGAACACGTTCTGAAGCAGTCTCTGCACGGGCAACCCCTCGTTTACGCTTCGGTGCCCGGTGCGGTTGCTCAACATCTTTGCAATCCGAATCCGAAGAAAGCTCTAGTAATGTCTTTCCATGGATGGACCGGCGGTGGTAAGAACTATGCATCGATGTTGCTCGCCAACTACTTGTACAAGAAAGGCCTCGAATCCGATTACGTGAAGCTTTATGTGTCGACGCTCCACTTCCCGCACAGCGACGAGATCGGTCGATACAAGGTGAGCGATTCCAGTTCTCAGTCTGACGCGTCCCCTCGATCGTGGGGGAGCTGATTCCAAGCGGGACTCCTGATAATGTGTTACCTTTCTGAGTGCATCAATATAGCTCGAAACTCGTATTTCCAGCGGAAGCTCCAGAAAGAGATCGTCGACCAAGTGAAGAAGTGTCCTCGCTCTATGTTCATTTTTGACGAAATCGACAAAATGCCGGCTGGTCTCATCGATATCATTAAACCGTTTCTGGACTTCCACGTAGCTCTTGACGGAGTGGATTACAGAAAATGCATATTTGTCTTCTTATCGAACACCGCTGGAGATTTGATCGCTCGTCAAGCTCTTACATATTGGAAGAACGGCATCGAAAGGAACAAGATCTCACTCAAGGTGGGCTTTAGAGTCGGCTGTACCTGAGCGAAACACTACGAATTGTTTCGTCTGGACCAAACCGCGGAAACCCTGAAAAAGTCCCAGAATCTGTATCTACGAATCGTTTCCGATGAAGTTTTCCTGAAAATCGCTTCTTCTGAGCAGGAGATGGAAGCGGTGATCGGGCTGGGCAGTTTCAACGAGAAGGGCGGCCTCTACAGAGCCGACATCGTCGATAAGAACCTCATTGACGTGTTCGTTCCGTTCCTGCCGTTGGAAAAACGTCAGATCAACCAATGTATTCGCGATGACTTCGTAAGGAAGCACGTTGAACCGACAAGAAGAATGGTAAGTCCTTCCTTCAACAAAACGGAAACATAGCTTGAAACCCAAGGAAACTCGTCACTTCAGTGTCTGTTGTCAGATCGCTCGTTGAGCATCTTTTCTCTTAATAAAATGGAATGGGACTTACATCTGCGTCTCCATCCCAGGTCGACACGATCGCGAAGGAATTGGAATACATTCCGGCGGATTACCAGTTGTACTCGTCGACTGGATGCAAGAAAGTTCAACACAAAGTGCAACAGTACCTTCACGGTGGAGTGAGCGACGAGGAGGAGGATTCCGGCGAGGAAGACGAGTAAATTCTTCCAAGGTCTTACACTCGCGACACCATGTCCACCTCCCACTGCCAGCAGACGGCATTGCTCAAAAAGCTGCCACGGTGTCATTGACCGTAGTTTCTAGTCGAAAACCCACAAACCTTAGCTTCGATGACGGCTAAGATTTGCCACTCAACATGTGAATTCAACTCGAAGGGTTGCCACTGGTTGGTTAAGGATATATTCTTCGTGATAGGCAGGCGGCGAGCTTCAGAAGCGAGCCGCCCGCAAGGAGAATCCGATCGTTCGAGATTTGTTGCGCTTTGTTTGACTAAATTCAATCTAATATTCATCGGTGGTTATGGTTTTACATTTAAGTTACTCTGTTGACTGACACATCGTTCATCCGATGATGGAATACTCGGATCGTTGTAGAGAAGAATTCTTGAGTCCTTAAACGAAGAAGGAGGGGGCGAGAGAGGAAGGAAACAGAGAGGAAACAGGGAAAGAGGGAACGGAATGCACAAGCTTCGGAAGTGCCTTGTTAGATCATCAGCCAAGTTGTGTATATATCCATGGACAATGAACACCTGTTGGCGAGTCAAAATTGTTCGTGCCGACGAAGTTTGAATAAATTTTCAGTTTTTTACAAGACGATACCACCCTTTATTGTTAGGCTCCCGGGAGAACCAATACGTCTAGAGCGACTCGGCAATACAATCGTCGTACCACCGACTACGGAGTACGTATAAGAATTCTCCGGATCCGACGATACCGAGGGTGCTCAAGAATTCATCCTGTTGACCTCGCCTCGCAAATCTCCTATCCAACACAGGATTATCATGACCGAACTGTTCCGTCCGCACGAAAACTATTCAGAGCATCGTGGGTCCCGTGGTGACCAGGCTGTCCTGAAGGAGCTCATTGTAAGTGGCAACTTCCGATTGGATTTTCTGTTGAAGGTGTCGATAGGAGTGCTCAGAAACCTTCGAGGCAATGTATTCCCTCATTTGGAAGTTTGTCGCTTCGACGTGTTGCCATCGTTTCTCCAGGTTAGACAGTTTTACGAAAGTGTCCTCTTGCTCGACCTGACGTCGCAGCGCTTCGACTTCTTTGCTCTGAGAGTCAACTATCTGCAACGGATTTCCAATGACGTGCATGTCAGAATGACATAATTGATGCGATGATTAACCCGACGACCGACTACTAGTATTCGACTCGGAGATTCCGGATACGCGTACTTTTTTGTGGTATCTTTACGCAGAAGAAGAGATGTCTGTTCTTTGAGGAGAGCCTCCCGCTTCTCCTGGGCTTGGGTTTTGAGTTTGTCGATATCTTCGTAGATGACGATTTCCTCTTTCATCTTGTCCAGGCGCGTTTTGATGGTGGATAGTTCTTGCCGAACTTTACTGTCGAGCTGCTCCATCTAGGGACAAATTATCCTTACTCAACAAAAATCTACTCGTACTCGAACGGACTCCGCGAATTTTACAGCTGATAAACCGCTAGTCTCCGGAGATACGAACCTTCTGAAGATCCGACGCGAGCTTACGCTGTTCGACCTCGAGCCCGGTAACCGTAGATTTGCTCTTCTCGAGTTCACCTTCTTTGAAACTGGAAGGGGTGAGGGGGAGAGGGATCAGGAAGGGACAAGAGGGAGACTGCGAGCCTAAGCAAGCCTAACGAAATTCGCTCCTCGATCGTGGCTTTGCATTGCACAAACCTCAAATCGTTTTTCAGATCATGCAATTCCCTCTGAGACGGCAGATTGTCGGCCTGGAACGTTTTTTGATCGGTGTCTTGCTTGAGCCTGAGGATACTCTCCCTCAGGTGCTCCTGTCTTTCTAGCTCTGCTGCTTTCGTCTGCTCGAACGAGTCTAGGAATGAGTCCATGGTCTCCTCCCCTATCAGATAATGGACCGTCAGACAAGGCGATTCAGCCGATTTCCGAGGGCGAAATGAAAAATGTAAATATCCCCATAATCGTCCCCGATTTTCGCTCAATGGCAAACACTTCAAGCATTAGTCGGACCATCACGTACGTTTTTTCAGCTCTCTGTATTTCGCTGACCGCTCCGAGTTCTGATCGTCGAGCTCGTTCTCTAGTTGCTCGATCTCATCCTTCGCGCGAGCCATGCTCTTGGTGAGCTCCGAGATCTTAGCCTCGATACCTGCTCCATGAAAAATTAGTCATCAGGTCCGAAGAACTTTCATAAATGGATCGTGAGGTTGGCGGTCCCTCTCCATGTGATGCGTTCGCAGACTCACCCGCGAGCTGAGCGTTGTCCTGTTTCACCTGCTTCAATAAACGCTCCCGCTCCTGTGCAGGAGTTCCCTTGGTCGCCTCTTCTTCGAGCAACGCATCTCTTTTCTCTTGAGCCTCTCGCAACTTCGTATAAAGTGCAACGGCTTCGAGTTTCACTGGGGAGAGAGAGACTTCTTCTTCGAGCTGTTTTTTCTTCGCGACTATGGAGGCTGCTTCCTCTTGCAGCTTTTCGAGATTCGATGTCAACGAGTCGCTCTGACGCTTCAACTCTAAATATTTCTGTCGTTGCTCGTTCGTCATTTGAGAGACCACTTTGTCCGCAGTGTTCCTGTTTTCGAAGACGAGGCAGATCTCTATGAATTAGCCGCCGAGATACTTCCACGGACCCGCTCTGAATGCCCTATGACGAGATGAAGGGTGAAAAATTCGTTTGAAACTGACCTAGCGTCGAGAATTTCCCTCTCGATCTCGCGGATTTTGGCCTCGTTCTCTTGTCGCTGCTCGAATAGATTCTCCACAGCCCGAGCCTCCAAATCGTTTTGGGTCTGGAATGAGACAACGATAGGATTCGACCCTGCAACTGGGAAGCGTCAGATGAAGATGCAGAGAAGCCTGGGGCAGCTTACCTTCAACTCGGCGCATTCAGATTCAATGTCTTCCACGCCTTCATTGACGTTCATCTTATCGACCACGATGTTGTAATCGGCCAGCTCTCCTTGATGGCTCTTGAGCTCAGCCGCCAAGGCTTCTGCCTTTTTCTGCAGGATCGCGGCGTTCCTGTGCACAGAATATTTTTCGAAAGCCGCAGTCGGGGAGTGTTCTCTCCCGCCCCCTTTTCCGTCGCGACCGGACAAACTTTCCGACCTCAAATCTCACCGTTGTTCCTCCTGCATGACTTCATTCTCTTTCTGAAGCCGATTGATTTCACCGTACAGCTCTGACATCCTATTTCGTATGAGCGCCATAAAATAAGGCTTATCCTGGATCTGTCGCTGAGTGCCCGAGCGTGTGCCTGGAGTTGACGAAACTACTCCATGAAACGAGTTTCAAACTCGAGTGAGGAAAATAAATCCGGTTGAGCGTTCCCAAAAAATTACCCGTCTTCGGAGCGTAGAGTCCATGTTGAGTCGTCGGTCTATCCACAACGCTAATCTGGGAAGGTGGACGAGTAGCACGAGATCCAGGTCTCTGATTGGCCGCAGCCGAAACCAAACGGCTCGCCGTTCCCGGAACGGATCCGTTCGCGATATTGCTCCTGCCTGGAACGGCATGGAATACCCGATTAGCACGCAGAACTCTGGAGAAAAGCTTTGGAATACTCTGATACATAAACCGGGACACTCCAAGTTGGGGGGAGTCAAGCATTCGTGACTTCCCATACAAACCGGTTATGGGCCGGACGCTTGACGGGGGTCTCCGAGCGGAAGACGTCGGAGGTCGATTATCCATTTGAACGGAGAATCTGAGGCTTCCAGTTACGAGCAGATGGTGTTTTCAGGCTCCTAGAGCGACATCAACGTGCTTGTGTACTTGACCGTGAGTGTTGTCATGGTAACGATTCAAGCGAATCCTGCCGAGCGCCGAGGTCTTGAGAGGGTCATTGAGGCATCAGCTCGGAATTCGATTGAGAATCCTCATCATCGAAGGTCTGAGGAATATGTTGCCGCATTACTTCGAAATAAGTCGTTTCCACCCTTGTTCGGCTGGGATAAGCCATCAGTTGCCAGTTTGACTGATGTCGAGAATCTTCGGGAGTCGCCACTGTTATTATTCGAGTGAAAATTGAACTGGAAACGACGTGGGGAGAAAAAGAGGGACCCGAGCCGTTGATTGCTTCGAATGAGAACGACTTAGTTAGGCGTCCATCTGACCGGTCAATACAAAGTGGCCACTCGAATAAACCCCCGAGCCGTGGCTCGGGTTCTGAAGAGAGTGCGGCGTCTCGCGGTCTTCCGGTGACTGTCTCGTCACGCTTACACTATCGGAACGATGTTCTCTCCCTCCTCAGAACTGTTTTAACGCGATAGCGGCCTTCGAAATTCATAACGAACGACCACAGGAATGGAAAAATACCAATCGGAGAGGTCGGGCGTCTTAGCCCGCGGTTCACTATTGCTCCGATGGTCTCATTTAACCCCAAGAGCAACAACGGGTGAGAAAAGCAGTAGAGTGCATTGGAGAGGTTGGTCAGTCAGCAGAATTAGGCCCGGGAGTGGCAAATTAAATTGGCGCAGATGCCATTACTCTTTCTTGGGGAGAAAGAACCGTTCCCCTATTCCTTATGGTGACCATCGCTCAACCAAGTCATTGTCTGCTCCCTCGCGCCTGAGCTAGTAATGTGTCCCCGTCCCGAGGTCTCGGCCCAAATCCCCATCTCATCTATCCTGACTCTGTTCCTTTCCACGGGAAATATCCAGGAGTTTTCCAGTCTAAACTCCAGCATACGGATGAAGCATAGACCTGCTCAAGCGTCTGACGGAGACGGCTCCATGTGCGACCGGTGAATCCGTTGTTTCACACGACATGTAGTTCATCCCGGAGCGCTTCGAAGTGAGAAGACCATTGGAATGGACGCGAGGCGAATCAAAAGCTTGAGTGTCTGGTCTCGCCTTCAACCTTACCGATGAGTTCGAGGGTCCGCAATCCTCCGCCTATGGGAACTCCACGGCATTGCGTTTAAAAATGAGACTACCGATCTTGACATTCATCTTCGTCTCAACGTCCTGGGTGTCAGTTCTTTTAAGAAGCGTCATGAGGATCATAAGGAAAGCTCACATGTTACGAGTCTTGTCGGACAGGATCGCTCCGGTAACGACGCGTCGTCCGAGGCTATTAACGAAGTTCCCTTCTGACATCGGTCTCTGAGGTGGGACACCGCGAAAACCGTTCCGCACAATTAATGAATTTATCAAAATATGTACACTCGAAAACGCAAAATATTCATGACTTGATCCGGATGCGTTCCCCGAGCGTGTGAAAATGAATGGAATAATCAGTCTATGGATATCAAGCTCGGGTGTCTTGTTCGGTAACGCTTCCTGATGATGATAAATACGCCACCGAGAAGCATCTCTTTTACAAAAGGCTGAAATTGCTCGAGATAGCATCTGACTAGAGATGCTGCCGTGTAGATGAATGCTCGACCGGTCCGTCTAGCAGGCCAAGCGGACGAGTGAGCGAGCGAGCGAGCGGGCCGACCAAGCGGCTGGTTGGTCGGTGGCCCGCGAAACCAAAGGTGTGAGTCCTCTCTCGAGAGTTCTGTTGTTCACTTATAATTGTTTTAGATATCGCACATGCATCGTTTCTAGCTCCAAGCGGTTCGCTTGCCGGGTGGTCCGACGTAATGACTAGAGAACTATGAGGTTCACTCCATTTCTCAAAACGTCCAGGAGCTCGCTTGGCGACTTTTGTGCCCAACGGACTCATTAGGGAGTCATCTTTCATTGCCAGGGTATCCTATCGGTCGTCAGAGACAACATCAGCACAGCCTCTCCGGATTCGTTGCCCGAGTCGCCTGTGATCCTCCAGGGAACTTCTGGAACTCACCTCTCGGAGCACCGACTCCGAGCTCACTCATTATTTGGCCGCAAAAATCCGCAAAGGGTTAGGAAGTTAGAGAGAGTTCATGAGAGTGACGATGGTGCCTTTGCGACGGACCCTGGCACTATTCATGCCTTCGTCTCGATTCCGAGCTACTCATTTGCCTCCCGTTTCCTCTCGTCGCGAGAATAGCCTTCAGAATCAGGACGAGGCGGCTCATGTGAGTCCCTGATGCTTTCATACGGGTCTTGTCTCAATTGTTTGCCGAAGTCTCCCCCGTCCGTCGAAGGAAAAATCGGAAAGAAAGAGAGAAAGAAAGCAAAAAAAAACGAGAAACCGCCTCCAACGACAAAACAAGCACTGACCTAAGCCAATAAGTGAATTTAGGCTCCGCAAATATTTCGGAACCGACAGGTCAGTCTGAGGGAGGACAAACACGCTTCGCTGTCGGAATCTCGGCACGGTAGTGAGTTTTCCGATGTGAGTTTCGATCGCCAGAGGCAGCTCTGGGTGACGCTGGTCGAGCTAACCAACCTCCTAATTATACGGAGGACATTATGAGCAAGCGCTTTCGAGGAGTAAGGTATCCGGCATACGTTCCACGACGTTTTGATTCATCGCAATTAAATGACTTGCCAACTCTTTCGTCCTCTGCTGCGATGAGAATTACTCGAGGATAATGAGTCTGACGCCGCTGTCAGAAACATGACACCTTCAATGCCTCGGCCCGACGTCCAACCGATTACACACATGGCTGTGTTCTTCAGCGGCCGACATATGGGTAGGTGGACGGCCGGATGAACAAAGTCTCGAGGCTGACAAAGGTGATTATGGCTCCTCCATCTTTTCCCCTCCTTATCAACTCATCCAATCGGTTTCTCGACGCGAGTGTGAGACAACGGGGACTATCAAAATAACAATACTAACAATAATAATTCATCTCAACTCATGCTTCGCTTGTATTCCATGCTCGCAATGGAATTCCTCTCTGGTTAGTCGAATAGTAACCCGTTTTAAACTTTTCAAAAGCGACGACACAATGCTACCGTCGGCGACGGACATCGGACATCACACCTCTCAACTGAGAAATTGCTCAGACGACACATCGGCTCACAGGACAACGTTCTAACGATTGAATTTCGGACTCGTCGACCTCGTGAGTTCCGGGGATGAGCCGCAGAGCGTCCCTTGCTGGACCGAGCCCTGTAGTCGCGAGCATTGCAAGCTCACTCTGCGGCTAGGCTGTCTGACGGTTTCTGGCTGAGTTCCCTACTAAGAGCCCCTTTTTCTCCCTCGTTCGGGCAATTTGAGTTTGATTTATGGACTTTGTCTAATTCACCATAATTTCCTTCACCCTCGTACGTTTGCTGCTGTTTCTTACGACTTTTCCGCTCTGTCTATGACCGCGTCCTCCGTGGCGGCGTTCACACTGTCTACTTGTAGCGGGTTTGTTCCCCTCACATGTCGGATAGTTATGATAATCATATCATTACGTCAGAGAAGAAATTTCGTTTCTTTCATTCAGGGCGAGATGAGGTCTGACCATTTCCTCGAGCATGCATCCCCGGACCCAGTCGGCGGCCGACACTTTGGCGAGGGCTTCTGCGGTCAAGTCGATCGGTAGATCCCGCGATCGATCCCGAGGATCTTCGGCGATACGTCTGGGACCTACAGATCCTCCCGTTGGGGATCTGTAGGGAGTGATGCTTCCAGGTAGGAGAACATATGAAGAGGCTTTCGGCTCTGTCGGAGAAACTTTCAGGTTCCCAAACACTTCTTGACGATGCCTCCGAGCCCTCGTCCTTGCCGGATAGCGTTCAAAGGTATCGTTTTGTCGGAGCTCGATGTAAAAGCCCAGCCATTAAAAGTGTGTGGAGCCGTGATCTGTCAGTAAGTGGTTTATGCAAAACCGCGGCTCTTCGATAGAGTGCTTCCCGCAGAGGCGAGCGTCGAATTTTGCGGTGGCAGCTGTACCTGTTCGTCCTCTTTTTATTTTTCGTCTCTCTACCGGCGGTCTACCGGTTGTATGGCGCGGCGGTGGCTCGTGTGTTGTGGAATCCAATTTGTGTCTGGCACGCTTCGTTTGCAAAAGTGAAACCAAGTTTTTTATCTGATGCTCCCACATTAGACTCTGCGATGTTGGGGTGCAAGAACACTGCACCCGTCTCGGCAATGCCTATGTGAGGCAGAGAGCGTGAGAGGGTGACACTTCCCGAGTCGCTCTGTCGATCCTTTCGTGCGACTTCCTTGCCGTAACACTCCGGGTCGATTTTTCTATCGATGGCTGCCAGTCAGTCCGACGAAGCATTCGCAAGTTTTCCTTGGGAAAGCGCTAATCATGCATTTGTCTTCCCTCGAATATGAGGGAATATCCTAGTCGGCTCGACAAGCAGCGAATAAAAAGTAGAAAATCATGCAAATGCCATCATCATCATCGGGTGGTTCTTCAGTCCCGGCGGCGTCGATCGCTGCACGGCTGGGCTTACCGGCCGCCAGCTCGCTGTTTGAGGAGCGACCATGGTTCCCTAGGCTGTTTCAGCGATCCTTTTCTTCAGGCCGAAGCTCTAATGGCTTTATGGAGGGCGTGAAGAATCTCCAAATGTTGCTTTTATCGCTTTCTCAGATGACCTCAGTCGGTAAGGAAACTCTAAAATGGAGGTTTTGGCTTATTTATTGCAACAGTGCGCTTACCCGAGCCACATAAAGAACAGTCACACTTAGTACGGAAAGAGAGCGCCGTACTTCGCCGTGACTCTAAATTAGTCAATAGATCGTCTCGGCAGAACTCGCGGCACGCGGATTCCGATAGACGAATTTTTCGAGCTGCTCGACTACTATCGGTACACGAACGAATCGAAACGACGGCTTTCGTCCTTTGGAGACGCTGACCGCTGCGCGGTTCTAACGTA